CCATTCCATGCCATACCATTCCATGCCATACCATTCCATGCCATACCATTCCATGCCATACCATTCCATGCCATACCATTCCATGCCATACCATTCCATGCCATACCATTCCATGCCATACCATTCCATGCCATACCATTCCATGCCATACCATTCCATGCCATACCATTCCATGCCATACCATTCCATGCCATACCATTCCATGCCATACCATTCCATGCCATACCATTCCATGCCATACCATTCCATGCCATACCATTCCATGCCATACCATTCCATGCCATACCATTCCATGCCATACCATTCCATGCCATACCATTCCATGCCATACCATTCCATGCCATACCATTCCATGCCATACCATTCCATGCCATACCATTCCATGCCATACCATTCCATGCCATACCATTCCATGCCATACCATTCCATGCCATACCATTCCATGCCATACCATTCCATGCCATACCATTCCATGCCATACCATTCCATGCCATACCATTCCATGCCATACCATTCCATGCCATACCATTCCATGCCATACCATTCCATGCCATACCATTCCATGCCATACCATTCCATGCCATACCATTCCATGCCATACCATTCCATGCCATACCATTCCATGCCATACCATTCCATGCCATACCATTCCATGCCATACCATTCCATGCCATACCATTCCATGCCATACCATTCCATGCCATACCATTCCATGCCATACCATTCCATGCCATACCATTCCATGCCATACCATTCCATGCCATACCATTCCATGCCATACCATTCCATGCCATACCATTCCATGCCATACCATTCCATGCCATACCATTCCATGCCATACCATTCCATGCCATACCATTCCATGCCATACCATTCCATGCCATACCATTCCATGCCATACCATTCCATGCCATACCATTCCATGCCATACCATTCCATGCCATACCATTCCATGCCATACCATTCCATGCCATACCATTCCATGCCATACCATTCCATGCCATACCATTCCATGCCATACCATTCCATGCCATACCATTCCATGCCATACCATTCCATGCCATACCATTCCATGCCATACCATTCCATGCCATACCATTCCATGCCATACCATTCCATGCCATACCATTCCATGCCATACCATTCCATGCCATACCATTCCATGCCATACCATTCCATGCCATACCATTCCATGCCATACCATTCCATGCCATACCATTCCATGCCATACCATTCCATGCCATACCATTCCATGCCATACCATTCCATGCCAGACCATTCCATGCCATACCATTCCATGCCATACCATTCCATGCCATACCATTCCATGCCATACCATTCCATGCCATACCATTCCATGCCATACCATTCCATGCCATACCATTCCATGCCATACCATTCCATGCCATACCATTCCATGCCATACCATTCCATGCCATACCATTCCATGCCATACCATTCCATGCCATACCATTCCATGCCATACCATTCCATGCCATACCATTCCATGCCATACCATTCCATGCCATACCATTCCATGCCATACCATTCCATGCCATACCATTCCATGCCATACCATTCCATGCCATACCATTCCATGCCATACCATTCCATGCCATACCATTCCATGCCATACCATTCCATGCCATACCATTCCATGCCATACCATTCCATGCCATACCATTCCATGCCATACCATTCCATGCCATACCATTCCATGCCATACCATTCCATGCCATACCATTCCATGCCATACCATTCCATGCCATACCATTCCATGCCATACCATTCCATGCCATACCATTCCATGCCATACCATTCCATGCCATACCATTCCATGCCAGACCATTCCATGCCATACCATTCCATGCCATACCATTCCATGCCATACCATTCCATGCCATACCATTCCATGCCATACCATTCCATGCCATACCATTCCATGCCATACCATTCCATGCCATACCATTCCATGCCATACCATTCCATGCCATACCATTCCATGCCATACCATTCCATGCCATACCATTCCATGCCATACCATTCCATGCCATACCATTCCATGCCATACCATTCCATGCCATACCATTCCATGCCATACCATTCCATGCCATACCATTCCATGCCATACCATTCCATGCCATACCATTCCATGCCATACCATTCCATGCCATACCATTCCATGCCAGACCATTCCATGCCATACCATTCCATGCCATACCATTCCATGCCATACCATTCCATGCCATACCATTCCATGCCATACCATTCCATGCCATACCATTCCATGCCAGACCATTCCATGCCATACCATTCCATGCCATACCATTCCATGCCATACCATTCCATGCCATACCATTCCATGCCATACCATTCCATGCCATACCATTCCATGCCATACCATTCCATGCCATACCATTCCATGCAATCGCACAAGATTTCAAGGCAACCGCACCGCAAGCCGTGCCATGTCAGCAATCCTACAAAAACGACGATAAAAAACGGTGTGCAGTGATATGAGAAACGGCCGCTATAATCCCGTTGCTGGGTGTTTTTGAGAATTCTCAAAAACGCCGTGCCATGTTAGCAATTCCACAGAAACGACGATCAGACACGGTGTGCTGTGCACATGCTACGATGGACGGACGGCTGCTATATTGACCAACAGCAGCAGAGCCTCCACAACAGCAGCAGCTTCTCGTTGCATGTATCTTCTAGTTGCTGTTGCATCTTGCTGTTCCCTGTCCTTGCTGTTCGCAGCAACAGCATAGCCTCCCTGTCCTCCCCTCTTCCCCACTCCCCAGCCCCTCCTCACCCCGCTTCTCTTCCAATCTTTTTACAGCTCTGACCCCTAGACAACCAACCCCCTCTCTCCTCTCCCCGCCCCCACTCCCTACCCCCTCCTCTCTACCCACCTTTCGCCTGTCAACAAGGAAAACGGAGTTCCCAGCAGCAGCTGCCAACACCTGCTCCTGACCTGAAGGGCATGGGGCGACAGGAGGAGGAGGGATCGGAAGGGAGGGGGAGGAAGCGGTGAGAGAAGGTTTAAGGTCCAGCACCAGCTTCTGAGGGAGGGGCCCTGCAGCAGCTGCTGAGGGAGGGGCCCTGCAGCAGCTGCTGAGGGAGGGGCCCTGCAGCAGCTGCAACACACGCTCTTGACTTGACCTGATAGGGGAAACAGACGAGCGAAGTGGGGTTCAAAAACGGGGGGAGGAGGGAAAGAGGAAGGGGGGGGGAAGGAGCGTGGGGAAGGACGAAGGGGAGGAGGAAGATAGGGGCAACGAAACAGGTGCTGTATTGATAAATGGAAGGCAATACAATAGGTGTACAAGGCGCAACGTGCCTGGGAGAAAGAGCAGGCTCGGCACCGAGGCTCCGCCGAAGCAGGTGAGGTGGATGGGAGGGGTTTGCGCTGGGGAGCGTAGATCACACACCGCCATGCTGCCGTCCTGAATAGTGGTGAATGCATGGGGGTTTGCAGGGATGTGCGCGTGGAGGAATGTGAGCATGCAAGAAAGACTGGAGAGCGGACTAAGAGACTACCAGAACGAACCTGAAAGGCATATTGAAAACTACAGGCGTTCGAATCCTGTCGCGAAGAGGATCAACGGCTCACCGTTAACGAAGAGAGCTACAACCAGTTTCACCGTTGAGGCGTTTCGCAAACCCTAACAGCGCAGCATCGTTTCCAGGTGCGTCCAAGACGAGACACCTTGTTTCAGCTAGCGTTTTTTAACGAGACGAATCGTATCCGCAATCACCTCGTTCTGTACGAGGCGCCTCGATTTCGCCAGCAGCGTCGGTTACTATGGAAAACCAAGTATCGTGCGAGTCTCGACGCGCCTCACCTCGCTACCAGTCGCAAGGAGGCAATCGGATCCGTCCACCTGGCAGCATAGCACGGAGTCCGAGTGGATTCGCGGAAGCGAAGTGCGTGGAACGGGTAGCGAATCAGAAGCCGACCTTGACGCCATGGTGGGGAGGTGGATTTGTGACTAATGCGAATTGGGGTCTAAATGCGAACCGACTGAAGCTGGAGGAGCGGATGGGATCGGGAGTTAGCACAATGATTCTGGTTCAAAAGTGACCGGAGCGTTTGGATATGGACGACTATGGCAGATGGTCATTGGCCACTTCTAGCTAAGGAAGATTTATTTTGCTCCCATATCTCATTAGTTAGAATGCGAATCTCTGGCGGAAGGGTTACCAGAATCACAGGGTTTTGGGCTCGAACTTTGCTTTGGTGTTTAGACAGATTAATTTTGTGCAGACAGGTCTAAGAAAAATTCCACGTATTGATTTCTGATTGGGTACCGTTGATATGAAGACTATTTTTTATACTGAGACCACTATCCCATTTCAATAATTCTTTGTGATGCCTTCGAAAAGGCACTCCAAAAATTGATGTATGCCGCTTGATGAGAAACACACACGGTATTCTTTAGTAAAAGGCGAAAGAATAGTTCGCTATGTGTATGACTCACGGCTGATGAAGAATTTCAGCTTCTCTAAGTGACTACTACTCGAGAAAAGCTTCCATTGAGAGTGCGTCATGGGCATCATTTGATGACGTGGCATGCATCACCTCGGGATTAGGTCCTAGGTTTGAACTTGCAACATTCGGCGGGTTGAGTACTGCATTGCAGTAGCCAACAACTCAAAGCTCTCTCACAGCTCAATTTATATGGAACAAATTGGCAGCCCATGCTGATCGTTTGTGCACGGTTCAGTTGGTTTGAACAGAGTTGAAAACGATATTAGAGAGTTGCCGTTTTGGAATGTAATGCACCGGACAAGACCGATGTGCTAGGGCTGAGAACCAATGCACAAAACACCACAAGTAGGAGGTATCTGGCTTGTGGTTCGAACCGCTTGATCTTGTGGTCTGCACCATCTCCCGATCCACTAGAGTAGTCCACGTACTCGCGGCCATCGTTAGCGTTGGCTGACCTACGCCGTTCCGTCGTACGCATTCATAACCTTGGCCAGCTGTCGCCATCATGGTCCGTTTAACCGCAGATCTGATCCTCGAATCGCCGCAGTATTTCAACGCGGTGCGAGAACGAGAGATCGACTTAAGAGGTGCGTGACGTCTCATAATCGCTCGAAACGTGTGGATTTCTACGGTACTGCACAGAAACATTGTACGGTTCTTTATGTACCTCAAACTTTCCTCTTGCGGTATTTCGCGGAAGCATAATACGCCATGAAGCAGTTCGTTAATTGTTCGAGGCGATGCTCGGATAGATTACCGTATCGTACGCCGTCGTCCGTTAAAAGGAATTTCTTTGGTCCAGTGAACATCCCGTTTCAAACACACCACGTTCACCGTGTGTGCAATGTGACTGTACATACAATCTGACCGTACGATGCGTCCCTATCATGTGATTGTACGATGTGTGACTGTACGGTGTCTCTCCGTGCCTGCCTGGCAGGGAATAAGATCGCAGTTATTGAGAATCTCGGAGCCACAGAGGTGAGCCCTCAATTATCTTTCCTCCATAAACATTCCACTCCAAACTAGCCCTCGTGATCTTCTTTTTTCCAATTTCAAGTTCATATGTATAACAGATTTCCTAGACCCTTCACCTTCAACCCTATTCCATGTACCCTTCCTTCCTGACTCAATTCGCTTAACTCGATGTCGCTTGAAACCATACATTTTAGGTCCTTTCTCTTACAACAGAACGAAGTCATTGGACCATTTCCCTTGGAACCAATCTCCTTCGCCCGTCCCTATCATTCGTTGTCTTAGACCTCCCTTTTGAACCAACCTCTACCGTTGTCATAAATTGCAGCTCCTTGCATCCTTTTTCTCCGCTACACACGATTGTTGACCAGTTCCCTCCCACACTCTCACCTGTCGGACAATGACATAGTAAAGCTGGAGGGGTTTCCTCCCTTTGTGAATTCCCTCCCTTTACCTCACCGCACCGCACAGGACCTGTTTGACAGCATCGACCTGTCAGACAATGACATAGTGAAGCTGGAGGGGTTCTCGCTGCTACGCCTTCCTTTTGGCCCATCAATTTTCATGAATTGTCTCCTTTACCTCACCGCACCGCACAGGACCTATTTGACAGCATCGACCTGTCGGACAACGAGATAGTGAAGCTGGAGGGGTTCCCTCTTCTGCGGCGGCTCTCCACTCTGCTGCTCTGCAACAACCGCATCACCCGCATCAGCCCGCAGCTAGGTAGTACGTATCGTGTCATGTGCTGCCACCTAGGTAGTACGTATCGCGTCATGTGCTGCCACCTAGGTAGTACGTATCGTGTCATGTGCTGCCACCTAGGTAGTATGTATCGTGTCATGTGCTGCCACCTAGGTAGTACGTATCGCGTCATGTGCTGCCACCTAGGTAGTACGTATCGTGTCATGTGCTGCCACCTAGGTAGTATGTATCGTGTCATGTGCTGCCACCTAGGTAGTACGTATCGTGTCATGTGCTGCCACCTAGGTAGTACGTATCGTGTCATGTGCTGCCACCTAGGTAGTACGTATCGTGTCATGTGCTGCCACCTAGGTAGTACGTATCGTGTCATGTGCTGCCACCTAGGTAGTACGTATCGTGTCATGTGCTGCCACCTAGGTAGTACGTATCGTGTCATGTGCTGCCACCTAGGTAGTACGTATCGTGTCATGTGCTGCCACCTAGGTAGTACGTATCGTGTCATGTGCTGCCACCTAGGTAGATCATCTGCTGTCGTTGAGTGGACTAGACATACGAGTCATATGCTGACAATCGCACCTTCCCTTGCTCCCCTGCTCCTTTTTCTTCCGTTTTCCTTCCTCCCCTCTTTCCGTCCTTTCCCACTCTCCTCTCCTAACCACACCCTTTCCTCCCCCTCCCTTCCCCTCCTACCTTCTCCCCTTCGCTCCCCCTTTCGCTTCCCCCCACAGCCCACCTCTCCAAGCTACAAACCCTAGTGTTGGCCAACAACCGTCTCACCAACCTGGCAGATCTCAACCCACTCGTGTCCCGGCGCACTCCCTCACCTCTCGCCTCCCCTTTCCTTCCCGTTTCCTTTCCTCCCCCCTATCCCCCCTCCCCTTTCTCCTCGTCCCTTTTCCCCTCCCTAACTTTCCTCCCTTTCAAATTCTCTCCCCCACCCTCAACAGCTCATCTCCCCAAGCTGCAGACTCTAGTGTTGGCCAACAACCGTCTCACCAACCTAGCGGATCTCGACCCGCTTGCATCCCGCGCCCACTCCCTCACCTCGCTCTCTTCCCTTTCCTCCCCTTTCCCCTCCTTCCTTGTTGCCAGCCCAACTCCCCAAGCTGCAGACACTCGTTCTCGCCAACAATCGCCTCACCAACCTAGCGGATCTCGACCCGCTGGCATCCCTGGCGCACTCCCTCACCTCGCTCTCCCTCCTCGACAACACGGTTGTCAAGAAACCCAAATACCGCCTCTACGCCATCCACTTGCTTCCCAAGCTGCGACTGCTCGACTTCCGAAAGGTCAAGCTCAAGGTGCGTTGGTGTGCCTTCCCTTCCTTTCCACAGTACACACCCCTCGCCCTCCTCCCTCCCTCACGTCGCTCTCTCTCCTCGACAACACCCGTCGTCAAGAAGCCAAAGTACCGCCTCTACGCCATCCACCTGCTGCCGAAACTGCGACTGCTCGACTTCCGAAGGTCAAGCTGAAGGTGCGTTGTCTAGCGTGTGCCTTCCTTTCAACGCTCTCCCCCTCCCTCTCCTCTCCCATCCTCCCCACTCGCTCACCTCGCTCTCTCTCCTCGACAATGCCGTTGCTAAGAAGCCCAAGTACCGCCTCTATGAGATTCATCTGCTGCCCAAGCTGCGACTGCTCGACTTCCAGAAAGTGAAGCTCAAGGTATGTTGATATGTGCCTGTCCTTGCACCTCCCTACCTCCCGCTGGCATCCCTGGCGCACTCCCTCACCTCGCTCTCTCTCCTCGACAACACGGTCGTCAAGAAGCCCAAGTATCGCCTCTACGCCATCCACCTGCTGCCCAAGCTGCGTCTCCTCGACTTCCGGGAAGTGAAGCTCAAGGTATGTCAGTGGGTCTGTCCTTCCACCTCTCCTCCTCCCTAGCTCACCTCGTCACCTCCCCCTCCTCCCTCTTGGGAAAGTCTCACTGAAGGATTTTCCCTCCCTCCCCTCCCTCCAGCCCCTCCCTCCCCTCCCTCCCCCTCCCTTCCCTCGCTCCCTTCCCTCCCCTCCTCCAGGAGCGGCAAGGAGTCTCGGTCACATTCGGAAAGGACAGAGCAGCAGCAGTAGCAGTGATGCCTGTATCAGCCAATACTGTTGTGCCTTAGGAAGCGCCTCCCCTCCCCTCCCTCCCCCTCCCTTCCCTCGCTTCCTTCCCTCCCCTCCTCCAGGAGAGGCAAGAGGCGGAGGCAACATTTGGAAAAGACCGAGCAGCAGCAGCAGCAGCCAAGCGTGTATCAGCCAACACGTTTGTTCCCGGGGAGGCCCTGGCAGAAGCAGGGGGGGCAGGAGCTGGAGGGGAGGGAGCAGCAGCAGCTGGTGGTGCTGGTGGTGATGGTGGGAAGGAGGGAAGGGAGGGGGCTGCTGCAACAGCAGTAGCTGCAAAAGGGCCAACACCCGAGCAGATCACAGCAATCAAGGTGAAGGTTCCTTCCATGTGTTAGGGTGAAGGTCCCTTCCATGTCTGAAGGTTTTCATGGTGAAAAAGGCATACTAGATATTGTGTCTTCATGGGTGATGTTTTTGGGATTTTTTTTTGCTGGTTTGTTTGTTTGCTTGTTTGCTTGTTTGTTTGTTTGTTTTCTTTTTTTCCTGTATACCAGTAGCATAGATCACACACGTTTTACTTTTCTTTCTTCTTGTCGCGTTACTCGTCTAGCTGAGTTGTCGCTTTACTTATTTAGCTGAGTTATTAATATCAATTGGTTTCTAGGAATTTTCAAAAATATATTCATTCCAGTCATGCTGTCCTTTCTGTGCTTCTCGTACCCCTGCCGCCCCCTGCTCCTCCTGCTGCCCCTGCAGGCTGCAATCAGCACAGCTCAGACGTTGGAGGAGGTTGCACGGCTGGAAAAGGTAGGTTCTTGCACCTCCTTCTTGCTTTCACTCTGAGCCAACCTGTGTGGGGTACCTTTTTCATTCTGCAGAATAGGCAGGTCGGCTCAGAATGAAAGCAAGCAGGAAGCAGAATGCTTCTATTCTGAGCCGACCTGTGGGGTGCCATTTTGAGACGTCTTGGTAAGCATATCGCACAATTGGGACGCTATATGTCTCCGTAGGCACATCAGACCCACTAGCCCAGTCGCCACACAATTGTGGGACCACAGCACAGCACAGCACCGCACAGCACTGCACAGCACAGCACAGCACCGCACAGCACTGCACAGCACAGCACAGCACCGCACAGCACAGCACACCAAACCACACCACACCACGCCACGCCACACCACACCATGCAGTGCAATCAAGTGCCGTACGGCATCCAGTTGCGCTTTTGCGTGTTTTTGGTCATACCAGCCAAACAAAAAGCTTAGTCTTCTTCTCGTCACGTCACTTCACCACTCCACACCTCACCCAATCACGGCAATGAGGCCAATTACCATCGAACAGGGAAGGTGCTCTTTGCAGGGAGGTTTTTGAGAATTCTCAAAAACTCCCTGTCACGGCAATCAGGAAGGTGCTATTTGAGGGCCCAGTCACATTCACCTTAACTCATCCCACCCCACCCCATTGCATCCCACATAAAACCACCCACACCACCCCACTCCACCCCACCCCATTGCACCACATCAGGCGCTGCAATCAGGCCAATTGCCATCGGACATCAAGGTGCCTTCGGCAGATACAGACAAAACAAGCCAACCCATGGAGTGAGTTTCGAATCCACTCCCTTGCTGCTTCTGCCGCCCGCTGCTTCTGAGGCCAATTTTATGCTCCTGCTGTTGCCGCCGCCCCTGCTTCTGCTGCTTGCTTTTCTCATCTGTCCTGTCACTTGCCAGTGCCACTCATAACCGCATATACTTCATTTGATCCCTCAAGCCAACCTCTTCTTACTTGCCGCTTTCATGTGTTCTTTCCATTCTCATGCCACCCTGTTGCATGCAGAGCTGATTAATTTCGACAGTGTCTTGTAATTTGTAAAACCTGCAGCCCAGATTGACCCTTCCCTACACTGAAGGCCAATAGCATGGCCCTTCTGCCCTCCATTAGTGCGTGATTTGTTTTAGCTATACGTATGCTTTCATTTAGGGTACATTCCGCTGTGGACACATGTCCCAATCGATGTGTCCCAATCGAGTGTACCGCTCCGAAACGAACTAAACCAGAGACGCGAAAATTTCGAAACTAGGGTGCAATTTGGTGTAATACGATGCAGTGCGGTAGAAACGATTGGGACACATCGATTGGGACATGTGTCCACAGCAGAATGTACCCTTAATCCCGTCATTAGGCTGGATAAACAGCACTGGCAGCTTGACAACTAACAATTGAACTGGAAAGAGAGCATTTACAGACAACCCACAGTACCTTTGGACACAAAAGCATCGGCTTAATCCAACCAACCACCAATCCTACTTGACACACTCTGTAGGCGCCAGTCCAAACACCGGTACCATGATTGCCGGTACTTCATTCTCTGCATCCTGGCGCAGGCATGAGTCGGTACAAGAAACTGGCCGAAACATAATGCGACACTGTTTGGCTTTGCAAAATGTGAGGGCAGGAGATGGTCCCAAGACAGCTGCTTGTCAAAACATATTGTTATGTTCTTACTCTAGGTTGTGTAGGGTCACACCTTAGAGGGTACAACCCAACTCTCTCGACATCCTTGTTGTACCCCCTCCCTCTTACCTAGTCAACACTCATTCCTCACCTAGCTAGTGATTCTAACACTGCTGGCATAGTCATGGCATGGCAGGCAGAGTATATCAGATGGGTAATGTTATGGGAAAAGGGTACATGGTATTTGTCCACATTGTCAGCTCGGCCACTTGGTCGGTCTGTTACAGACCACGGTTTAGGTAACGGCCCTCAGATATCAGGAAAAAAACCCTGAAATTCCTGATTTTCAGGGTATTTTTTTATACCTACCCTGATTTCTCAGCGTTCAGATTTTAGAGAGACTGATATTTCAGCCTTTTTTTCTCTAAGGGGACTGATTCTTCAGCCTTTTATCCAAGTGCACACTGAATGCACATTCCGAATCTCACCACTTGTGGATCATTTCTTTAACAATAGGGTACAAGTTGTGAACGAATTTACCCGACGACAGGTTAACCCGTCTCAGTTGTTAGTGGTCGCAATCGAAAGGCAAGATCTTCGTTTTGAGTCTTGCGACTGTTACTAATCGCAGGACTTCCATTTACACTAAGCAAATCAAGTAGTAAGCATTTTTCTTGGGAAACCCTGAGAATTCAGGCTTTTTTTTTTTAGGAACACTGATTTTCAGCATTTTTGAAATAGGGAACCCTGATGCATCAACGTCCCTAAAAGTGAATCTGAGGCCCTGGTAACGTACATGTCCTTCATCCTCCGGTTTGTGAACATCGCAAAAAAGACAACAATGTTGTGGTGCCTAGGTTTAATTGATAATATTAGCTCTTGCCCGTATCATTTGCAATACACCAGGCTTTCATGAATAAAGGAGATCTCAGTACAGCACTCTGGGTGCTGAGCGTTCTGCTCCACATGGAATATTCGATACCCCATCTTCTCCAAATGGTACACCATGAACAGTGTCTTGCTGGGGTTGCCCACACTGCCAAGATGAAGTGGTAGAGGCAGAGCACAGGAAGGGAGGATAGTGTGAGTGGGGGGCTGGGGGGGAAGGGACAAAATGCAATACCCCATCTTCTCCAAATGGTACACCATGAACAGTGTCTTGCTGGGATTGCCCACACAGCCAAGAGTGAGAAAAGGCAGAAGATCACCCATGCACGGGAAGGGAGGGGGTTGTGTTGTGAGCGGGGGGGTGGGGGAGGGGAAGTGAGATACACCATGAACAGCGTCTTGCTGGGGTTGCCCACACTGCCAAAATTAAGGAAAGGCAGAGCAGAGGAAGGGGGGGGGTTGTGTTGTGAGCGGGGGGGTGGGGGGGAGGCGAGAGTACAAGAGGCACTTACTCGTGGAACTCAATGATCAGCTGGCCGATGGGGGGACTCCCGAGGGGCAAGGGGCGAGTGCCCTCTGGCACGCCAACAGCTGGGAGAATGTCAAACAGCACCACCGCTTCGCACCCCTCACAGTCGATCTTGAACACGTCTATGTGCGTGTGGTTGTGCTTCCGCATGACCTGGGGAGAACATGAAAGAGTGGAGGGGAAGGGGCACGGAGGAATGTTCAAACAGCACCACTGCCTCACAGCCTTCACAGTCGATCTTGAACACGTCTATATGCGTGTGGTTGTGCTTCCGCATCACCTGGAGGAGGGTTGGAGAGGAGGGAGGGGGGGGGGGGGGTGGGGGAAGAGCACAAAGAAGGCATGTGGCACGGCAGCAGCGGGCAGAATGTCAAACAGCACCACCGCCTCACAGCCCTCGCACTCAATCTTGAAAACATCAATATGCGTGTGGTTGTGCTTCCGCATCACCTGAACAAACATGAAAGAGAGTGGAGGGGAAGGGGCACGCAGAATGTCAAACAGCACCACCGGAGAGAAGGCGCCCCAAAGGAGAGACGTGCGCCTTGCTCCATGCCCTCTGCTGTACAACACCTATTCCTTGCTCCCCAAAGGAGAGACGTGCGCCTTGCTACATGCCCTCTGCTGTACAACACCTATGCCTTGCTCCCCAAAGGAGAGACGTGCGCCTTGCTCCATGCCCTCTGCTGTACAACACCTATGCCTTGCTCCCCAAAGAAGGCGCCCCAAACAAGAGACGTGAGGCAGCAGAGGTGTTTGAGGTGTCTTTGGGGCGCTCTCTCTTCTCTCAAACACGCTTTTGAGTCGACTCAAAAGCAATCCAGGGGTTCTCTTTCTCTCTGCGCTGCCCTCTTCTTTTGAGTCGACTCAAAAGCAATCCAGGGGTTCTCTTTCTCTCTGCGCTGCCCTCTTCTTTTGAGTCGACTCAAAAGCAATCCAGGGGTTCTCTTTCTCTCTGCGCTGCCCTCTTCTTTTGAGTCGACTCAAAAGCTGTCTTTGGGGCGCTCTCTCTTCTCTCAAACACCCTTCCCTGGCCGACGTCGGCGACGGTGACGACGATGTGCAGCAGCAGGTGTCGTGCCCTTCAGCTCTCCCCTTCCTCCCCCCTTCTTCCCCCTCCGTCTCTCCTCCACCCACTTCCCCAGGAAAGCTCTACCCCCACCAACAATATGTATGTGGGGCGAAGAGAAGGCGGCCCAAAGGAGAGAAGGGTGTTTGAGGTGTCTTTGGGGCGTCTTCTCTTCTCTCAAACACCCTTCCACCTCCCTCCTGATTCAGAGCTGGGTAACTTCTTCAGGTGCCCCCAAAAACAGACCAAGTCACCTGCTGTTCGATGGTCATGAAAGAATTCCTCTTCATCTCCTCCTTTCACTGCTAATTTCTAAGTCCACTCAGTAAAAACTCCACCCCTTCAAACCCCATTCTCCTCGATTTTTGAGTCGCCTAAAAAATGAACTCCACCCCTTCAAACCCCATTCTCCTCGATTTTTGAGTCGCCTCAAAAATGAACTCCACCCCTTCAAACCCCATTCTCCTCGATTTTTTAGTCGCCTCAAAAATGAACTCCACCCCTTCAAACCCCATTCTCCTCGATTTTTTAGTCGACTCAAAAATGAACTCCACCCCTTCGAACCCCATTCTCCTCGATTTTTGAGTCGCCTCAAAAATGAACTCCACCCCTTCAAACCCCATTCTCCTCGATTTTTGAGTCGCCTCAAAAATGAACTCCACCCCTTCAAACCCCATTCTCCTCGATTTTTGAGTCGCCTCAAAAATGAACTCCACCCCTTCGAACCCCATTCTCCTCGATTTTTGAGTCGCCTAAAAAATGAACTCCACCCCTTCAAACCCCATTCTCCTCGATTTTTGAGTCGCCTCAAAAATGAACTCCACCCCTTCAAACCCCATTCTCCTCGATTTTTTAGTCGCCTCAAAAATGAACTCCACCCCTTCAAACCCCATTCTCCTCGATTTTTGAGTCGCCTCAAAAATGAACTCCACCCCTTCAAACCCCATTCTCCTCGATTTTTGAGTCGCCTAAAAAATGAACTCCACCCCTTCAAACCCCATTCTCCTCGATTTTTGAGTTGCCTCAAAAATGAACTCCACCCCTTCAAACCCCATTCTCCTCGATTTTTGAGTCGCCTCAAAAATGAACTCCACCCCTTCAAACCCCATTCTCCTCGATTTTTTAGTCGACTCAAAAATGAACTCCACCCCTTCAAACCCCATTCTCCTCGATTTTTTAGTCGACTCAAAAATGAACTCCACCCGTTCAAACCCCATTCTCCTCGATTTTTGAGTCGCCTAAAAAATGAACTCCACCCCTTCAAACCCCATTCTCCTCGATTTTTGAGTCGCCTCAAAAATGAACTCCACCCCTTCAAACCCCATTCTCCTCGATTTTTTAGTCGACTCAAAAATGAACTCCACCCCTTCGAACCCCATTCTCCTCGATTTTTTAGTCGACTCAAAAATGAACTCCACCCCTTCAAACCCCATTCTCCTCGATTTTTTAGTCGACTCAAAAATGAACTCCACCCCTTCGAACCCCATTCTCCTCGATTTTTGAGTCGCCTCAAAAATGAACTCCACCCCTTCAAACCCCATTCTCCTCGATTTTTGAGTCGCCTCAAAAATGAACTCCACCCCTTCAAACCCCATTCTCCTCGATTTTTGAGTCGCCTAAAAAATGAACTCCACCCCTTCAAACCCCATTCTCCTCGATTTTTGAGTCGCCTCAAAAATGAACTCCACCCCTTCAAACCCCATTCTCCTCGATTTTTTAGTCGACTCAAAAATGAACTCCACCCCTTCGAACCCCATTCTCCTCGATTTTTGAGTCGCCTCAAAAATGAACTCCACCCCTTCAAACCCCATTCTCCTCGATTTTTGAGTCGCCTCAAAAATGAACTCCACCCCTTCAAACCCCATTCTCCTCGATTTTTGAGTCGCCTCAAAAATGAACTCCACCCCTTCAAACCCCATTCTCCTCGATTTTTGAGTCGCCTCAAAAATGAACTCCACCCCTTCAAACCCCATTCTCCTCGACTTTTTAGTCGACTCAAAAATGAACTCCACCCCTTCGAACCCCATTCTCCTCGATTTTTGAGTCGCCTCAAAAATGAACTCCACCCCTTCGAACCCCATTCTCCTCGATTTTTGAGTCGCCTCAAAAATGAACTCCACCCCTTCAAACCCCATTCTCCTCGATTTTTGAGTCGCCTCAAAAATGAACTCCACCCCTTCAAACCCCATTCTCCTCGATTTTTTAGTCGACTCAAAAATGAACTCCACCCCTTCAAACCCCATTCTCCTCGATTTTTGAGTCGCCTCAAAAATGAACTCCACCCCTTCGAACCCCATTCTCCTCGATTTTTGAGTCGCCTCAAAAATGAACTCCACCCCTTCAAACCCCATTCTCCTCGATTTTTGAGTCGCCTCAAAAATGAACTCCACCCCTTCAAACCCCATTCTCCTCGATTTTTTAGTCGCCTCAAAAATGAACTCCACCCCTTCGAACCCCATTCTCCTCGATTTTTGAGTCGCCTCAAAAATGAACTCCACCCCTTCAAACCCCATTCTCCTCGATTTTTGAGTCGCCTCAAAAATGAACTCCACCCCTTCAAACCCCATTCTCCTCGATTTTTGAGTCGCCTCAAAAATGAACTCCACCCCTTCGAACCCCATTCTCCTCGATTTTTGAGTCGCCTCAAAAATGAACTCCACCCCTTCAAACCCCATTCTCCTCGATTTTTGAGTCGCCTCAAAAAAGAACTCCACCCCTTCAAACCCCATTCTCCTCGATTTTTGAGTCGCCTCAAAAATGAACTCCACCCCTTCGAACCCCATTCTCCTCGATTTTTGAGTCGCCTCAAAAATGAACTCCACCCCTTCAAACCCCATTCTCCTCGATTTTTGAGTCGCCTCAAAAATGAACTCCACCCCTTCAAACCCCATTCTCCTCGATTTTTGAGTCGCCTCAAAAATGAACTCCACCCCTTCAAACCCCATTCTCCTCGATTTTTGAGTCGCCTCAAAAATGAACTCCACCCCTTGAAACCCCATTCTCCTCGATTTTTTAGTCGACTCAAAAATGAACTCCACCCCTTCAAACCCCATTCTCCTCGATTTTTGAGTCGCCTCAAAAATGAACTCCACCCCTTCAAACCCCATTCTCCTCGATTTTTTAGTCGACTCAAAAATGAACTCCACCCCTTCGAACCCCATTCTCCTCGATTTTTGAGTCGCCTCAAAAATGAACTCCACCCCTTCAAACCCCATTCTCCTCGATTTTTGAGTCGCCTAAAAAATGAACTCCACCCCTTCAAACCCCATTCTCCTCGATTTTTGAGTCGCCTCAAAAATGAACTCCACCCCTTCGAACCCCATTCTCCTCGATTTTTGAGTCGCCTAAAAAATGAACTCCACCCCTTCAAACCCCATTCTCCTCGATTTTTGAGTCGCCTCAAAAATGAACTCCACCCCTTCAAACCCCATTCTCCTCGATTTTTTAGTCGCCTCAAAAATGAACTCCACCCCTTCAAACCCCATTCTCCTCGATTTTTGAGTCGCCTCAAAAATGAACTCCACCCCTTCAAACCCCATTCTCCTCGATTTTTGAGTCGCCTCAAAAATGAACTCCACCCCTTCAAACCCCATTCTCCTCGATTTTTGAGTCACCTCAAAAATGAACTCCACCCCTTCAAACCCCATTCTCCTCGATTTTTGAGTCGCCTCAAAAATGAACTCCACCCCTTCGAACCCCATTCTCCTCGATTTTTGAGTCGCCTCAAAAATGAACTCCACCCCTTCAAACCCCATTCTCCTCGATTTTTGAGTCGCCTCAAAAATGAACTCCACCCCTTCAAACCCCATTCTCCTCGATTTTTTAGTCGACTCAAAAATGAACTCCACCCCTTCAAACCCCATTCTCCTCGATTTTTGAGTCGCCTCAAAAATGAACTCCACCCCTTCAAACCCCATTCTCCTCGATTTTTTAGTCGACTCAAAAATGAACTCCACCCCTTCGAACCCCATTCTCCTCGATTTTTGAGTCGCCTCAAAAATGAACTCCACCCCTTCAAACCCCATTCTCCTCGATTTTTGAGTCGCCTCAAAAATGAACTCCACCCCTTCAAACCCCATTCTCCTCGATTTTTGAGTCGCCTCAAAAATGAACTCCACCCCTTCGAACCCCATTCTCCTCGATTTTTGAGTCGCCTCAAAAATGAACTCCACCCCTTCAAACCCCATTCTCCTCGATTTTTGAGTCGCCTCAAAAATGAACTCCACCCCTTCAAACCCCATTCTCCTAGATTTTTTAGTCGACTCAAAAATGAACTCCACCCCTTCAAACCCCATTCTCCTCGATTTTTGAGTCGCCTCAAAAATGAACTCCACCCCTTCAAACCCCATTCTCCTCGATTTTTGAGTCGCCTCAAAAATGAACTCCACCCCTTCAAACCTCATTCTCCTCGATTTTTGAGTCACCTCAAAAATGAACTCCACCCCTTCAAACCCCATTCTCCTCGATTTTTGAGTCGCCTCAAAAATGAACTCCACCCCTTCGAACCCCATTCTCCTCGATTTTTGAGTCGCCTCAAAAATGAACTCCACCCCTTCGAACCCCATTCTCCTCGATTTTTGAGTCGCCTCAAAAATGAACTCCACCCCTTCAAACCCCATTCTCCTCGATTTTTGAGTCGCCTCAAAAATGAACTCCACCCCTTCGAACCCCATTCTCCTCGATTTTTGAGTCGCCTCAAAAATGAACTCCACCCCTTCAAACCCCATTCTCCTCGATTTTTGAGTCGCCTCAAAAATGAACTCCACCCCTTCAAACCCCATTCTCCTCGATTTTTGAGTCGCCTAAAAAATGAACTCCACCCCTTCAAACCCCATTCTCCTCGATTTTTGAGTCGCCTCAAAAATGAACTCCACCCCTTCAAACCCCATTCTCCTCGATTTTTTAGTCGACTCAAAAATGAACTCCACCCCTTCAAACCCCATTCTCCTCGATTTTTGAGTCGCCTCAAAAATGAACTCCACCCCTTCAAACCCCATTCTCCTCGATTTTTTAGTCGGCTCAAAAATGAAGTCCACCCCTTCGAACCCCATTCTCCTCGATTTTTGAGTCGCCTCAAAAATGAACTCCACCCCTTCAAACCCCATTCTCCTCGATTTTTGAGTCGGCTAAAAAATGAACTCCACCCCTTCAAACCCCATTCTCCTCGATTTTTGAGTCGCCTCAAAAATGAACTCCACCCCTTCAAACCCCATTCTCCTCGATTTTTTAGTCGACTCAAAAATGAACTCCACCCCTTCAAACCCCATTCTCCTCGATTTTTGAGTCGCCTAAAAAATGAACTCCACCCCTTCAAACCCCATTCTCCTCGATTTTTTAGTCGACTCAAAAATGAACTCCACCCCTTCGAACCCCATTCTCCTCGATTTTTGAGTCGCCTCAAAAATGAACTCCACCCCTTCAAACCCCATTCTCCTCGATTTTTGAGTCGCCTAAAAAATGAACTCCACCCCTTCAAACCCCATTCTCCTCGATTTTTGAGTCGCCTCAAAAATGAACTCCACCCCTTCAAACCCCATTCTCCTCGATTTTTGAGTCGCCTCAAAAATGAACTCCACCCCTTCAAACCCCATTCTCCTCGATTTTTGAGTCGCCTCAAAAATGAACTCCACCCCTTCAAACCCCATTCTCCTCGATTTTTTAGTCGCCTCAAAAATGAACTCCACCCCTTCAAACCCCATTCTCCTCGATTTTTGAGTCGCCTAAAAAATGAACTCCACCCCTTCAAACCCCATTCTCCTCGATTTTTTAGTCGACTCAAAAATGAAATCCACCCCTTCAAACCCCATTCTCCTCGATTTTTGAGTCGCCTAAAAAATGAACTCCACCCCTTCAAACCCCATTCTCCTCGATTTTTTAGTCGACTCAAAAATGAACTCCACCCCTTCAAACCCCATTCTCCTCGATTTTTGAGTCGCCTCAAAAATGAACTCCACCCCTTCAAACCCCATTCTCCTCGATTTTTTAGTCGACTCAAAAATGAACTCCACCCCTTCGAACCCCATTCTCCTCGATTTTTGAGTCGCCTCAAAAATGAACTCCACCCCTTCAAACCCCATTCTCCTCGATTTTTGAGTCGCCTCAAAAATGAACTCCACCCCTTCAAACCCCATTCTCCTCGATTTTTGAGTCGCCTCAAAAATGAACTCCACCCCTTCAAACCCCATTCTCCTCGATTTTTTAGTCGCCTAAAAAATGAACTCCACCCCTTCAAACCCCATTCTCCTCGATTTTTGAGTCGCCTCAAAAATGAACTCCACCCCTTCAAACCCCATTCTCCTCGATTTTTTAGTCGACTCAAAAATGAACTCCACCCCTTCGAACCCCATTCTCCTCGATTTTTGAGTCGCCTCAAAAATGAACTCCACCCCTTCAAACCCCATTCTCCTCGATTTTTGAGTCGCCTCAAAAATGAACTCCACCCCTTCAAACCCCATTCTCCTCGATTTTTGAGTCGCCTCAAAAATGAACTCCACCCCTTCAAACCCCATTCTCCTCGATTTTTTAGTCGACTCAAAAATGAACTCCACCCCTTCAAACCCCATTCTCCTCGATTTTTGAGTCGCCTCAAAAATGAACTCCACCCCTTCAAACCCCATTCTCCTCGATTTTTTAGTCGACTCAAAAATGAACTCCACCCCTTCGAACCCCATTCTCCTCGATTTTTGAGTCGCCTCAAAAATGAACTCCACCCCTTCAAACCCCATTCTCCTCGATTTTTGAGTCGCCTCAAAAATGAACTCCACCCCTTCAAACCCCATTCTCCTCGATTTTTGAGTCGACTCAAAAATGAACTCCACCCCTTCAAACCCCATTCTCCTCGATTTTTGAGTCGCCTAAAAAATGAACTCCACCCCTTCAAACCCCATTCTCCTCGATTTTTGAGTCGCCTCAAAAATGAACTCCACCCCTTCAAACCCCATTCTCCTCGATTTTTGAGTCGCCTCAAAAATGAACTCCACCCCTTCAAACCCCATTCTCCTCGATTTTTTAGTCGACTCAAAAATGAAATCCACCCCTTCAAACCCCATTCTCCTCGATTTTTGAGTCGCCTAAAAAATGAACTCCACCCCTTCAAACCCCATTCTCCTCGATTTTTTAGTCGACTCAAAAATGAACTCCACCCCTTCAAACCCCATTCTCCTCGATTTTTGAGTCGCCTCAAAAATGAACTCCACCCCTTCAAACCCCATTCTCCTCGATTTTTTAGTCGACTCAAAAATGAACTCCACCCCTTCGAACCCCATTCTCCTCGATTTTTGAGTCGCCTCAAAAATGAACTCCACCCCTTCAAACCCCATTCTCCTCGATTTTTGAGTCGCCTCAAAAATGAACTCCACCCCTTCAAACCCCATTCTCCTCGATTTTTGAGTCACCTCAAAAATGAACTCCACCCCTTCAAACCCCATTCTCCTCGATTTTTTAGTCGCCTAAAAAATGAACTCCACCCCTTCAAACCCCATTCTCCTCGATTTTTGAGTCGCCTCAAAAATGAACTCCACCCCTTCAAACCCCATTCTCCTCGATTTTTTAGTCGACTCAAAAATGAACTCCACCCCTTCGAACCCCATTCTCCTCGATTTTTGAGTCGCCTCAAAAATGAACTCCACCCCTTCAAACCCCATTCTCCTCGATTTTTGAGTCGCCTCAAAAATGAACTCCACCCCTTCAAACCCCATTCTCCTCGATTTTTGAGTCGCCTCAAAAATGAACTCCACCCCTTCAAACCCCATTCTCCTCGATTTTTTAGTCGACTCAAAAATGAACTCCACCCCTTCAAACCCCATTCTCCTCGATTTTTGAGTCGCCTCAAAAATGAACTCCACCCCTTCAAACCCCATTCTCCTCGATTTTTTAGTCGACTCAAAAATGAACTCCACCCCTTCGAACCCCATTCTCCTCGATTTTTGAGTCGCCTCAAAAATGAACTCCACCCCTTCAAACCCCATTCTCCTCGATTTTTGAGTCGCCTCAAAAATGAACTCCACCCCTTCAAACCCCATTCTCCTCGATTTTTGAGTCGACTCAAAAATGAACTCCACCCCTTCAAACCCCATTCTCCTCGATTTTTGAGTCGCCTAAAAAATGAACTCCACCCCTTCAAACCCCATTCTCCTCGATTTTTGAGTCGCCTCAAAAATGAACTCCACCCCTTCAAACCCCATTCTCCTCGATTTTTGAGTCGCCTCAAAAATGAACTCCACCCCTTCAAACCCCATTCTCCTCGATTTTTTAGTCGACTCAAAAATGAACTCCACCCCTTCAAACCCCATTCTCCTCGATTTTTGAGTCGCCTCAAAAATGAACTCCACCCCTTCAAACCCCATTCTCCTCGATTTTTTAGTCGACTCAAAAATGAACTCCACCCCTTCGAACCCCATTCTCCTCGATTTTTGAGTCGCCTAAAAAATGAACTCCACCCCTTCAAACCACATTCTCCTCGATTTTTGAGTCGCCTAAAAAATGAACTCCACCCCTTCAAACCCCATTCTCCTCGATTTTTGAGTCGCCTCAAAAATGAACTCCACTCCTTCAAACCCCATTCTCCTCGATTTTTTAGTCGACTCAAAAATGAACTCCACCCCTTCAAACCCCATTCTCCTCGATTTTTGAGTCGCCTCAAAAATGAACTCCACCCCTTCAAACCCCATTCTCCTCGATTTTTTAGTCGACTCAAAAATGAACTCCACCCCTTCGAACCCCATTCTCCTCGATTTTTGAGTCGCCTCAAAAATGAACTCCACCCCTTCAAACCCCATTCTCCTCGATTTTTGAGTCGCCTCAAAAATGAACTCCACCCCTTCAAACCCCATCCTCCTCGATTTTTGAGTCGCCTCAAAAATGAACTCCACCCCTTCAAACCCCATTCTCCTCGATTTTTTAGTCGACTCAAAAATGAACTCCACCCCTTCAAACCCCATTCTCCTCGATTTTTGAGTCGCCTCAAAAATGAACTCCACCCCTTCAAACCCCATTCTCCTCGATTTTTTAGTCGACTCAAAAATGAACTCCACCCCTTCGAACCCCATGCTCCTCGATTTTTGAGTCGCCTCAAAAATGAACTCCACCCCTTCAAACCCCATTCTCCTCGATTTTTGAGTCGCCTCAAAAATGAACTCCACCCCTTCGAACCCCATTCTCCTCGATTTTTGAGTCGCCTCAAAAATGAACTCCACCCCTTCAAACCCCATTCTCCTCGATTTTTGAGTCGCCTCAAAAATGAACTCCACCCCTTCAAACCCCATTCTCCTCGATTTTTGAGTCGCCTCAAAAATGAACTCCACCCCTTCAAACCCCATTCTCCTCGATTTTTTAGTCGACTCAAAAATGAACTCCACCCCTTCAAACCCCATTCTCCTCGATTTTTGAGTCGCCTCAAAAATGAACTCCACCCCTTCAAACCCCATTCTCCTCGATTTTTTAGTCGACTCAAAAATGAACTCCACCCCTTCGAACCTCTCTTCGATTTTTGAGTCGCCTCAAAAATGAACTCCACCCCTTCAAACCCCATTCTCCTCGATTTTTGAGTCGCCTCAAAAATGAACTCCACCCCTTCAAACCCCATTCTCCTCGATTTTTGAGTCGCCTCAAAAATGAACTCCACCCCTTCAAACCCCATTCTCCTCGATTTTTTAGTTGACTCAAAAATGAACTCCACCCCTTCAAACCCCATTCTCCTCGATTTTTGAGTCGCCTAAAAAATGAACTCCACCCCTTCAAACCCCATTCTCCTCGATTTTTTAGTCGACTCAAAAATGAACTCCACCCCTTCGAACCCCATTCTCCTCGATTTTTGAGTCGCCTCAAAAATGAACTCCACCCCTTCAAACCCCATTCTCCTCGATTTTTGAGTCGCCTCAAAAATGAACTCCACCCCTTCAAACCCCCTCCTCGATTTTTGAGTCGCCTCAAAAATGAACTCCACCCCTTCAAACCCCATTCTCCTCGATTTTTGAGTCGCCTAAAAAATGAACTCCACCCCTTCAAACCCCATTCTCCTCGATTTTTGAGTCGCCTCAAAAATGAACTCCACCCCTTCAAACCCCATTCTCCTCGATTTTTTAGTCGACTCAAAAATGAACTCCACCCCTTCAAACCCCATTCTCCTCGATTTTTGAGTCGCCTAAAAAATGAACTCCACCCCTTCAAACCCCATTCTCCTCGATTTTTTAGTCGGCTCAAAAATGAACTCCACCCCTTCGAACCCCATTCTCCTCGATTTTTGAGTCGCCTCAAAAATGAACTCCACCCCTTCAAACCCCATTCTCCTCGATTTTTGAGTCGCCTCAAAAATGAACTCCACCCCTTCAAACCCCATTCTCCTCGATTTTTGAGTCGCCTCAAAAATGAACTCCACCCCTTCAAACCCCATTCTCCTCGATTTTTTAGTCGACTCAAAAATGAACTCCACCCCTTCAAACCCCATTCTCCTCGATTTTTGAGTCGCCTCAAAAATGAACTCCACCCCTTCAAACCCCATTCTCCTCGATTTTTTAGTCGACTCAAAAATGAACTCCACCCCTTCGAACCCCATTCTCCTCGATTTTTGAGTCGCCTCAAAAATGAACTCCACCCCTTCAAACCCCATTCTCCTCGATTTTTGAGTCGCCTCAAAAATGAACTCCACCCCTTCAAACCCCATTCTCCTCGATTTTTGAGTCGCCTCAAAAATGAACTCCACCCCTTCAAACCCCATTCTCTTCGATTTTTTAGTCGACTCAAAAATGAACTCCACCCCTTCAAACCCCAGTCTCCTCGATTTTTGAGTCGCCTCAAAAATGAACTCCACCCCTTCAAACCCCATTCTCCTCGATTTTTGAGTCGCCTCAAAAATGAACTCCACCCCTTCAAACCCCATTCTCCTCGATTTTTTAGTCGACTCAAAAATGAACTCCACCCCTTCGAACCCCATTCTCCTCGATTTTTGAGTCGCCTAAAAAATGAACTCCACCCCTTCAAACCCCATTCTCCTCGATTTTTGAGTCGCCTGAAAAATGAACTCCACCCCTTCAAACCCCATTCTCCTCGATTTTTGAGTCGCCTCAAAAATGAACTCCACCCCTTCAAACCCCATTCTCCTCGATTTTTGAGTCGCCTCAAAAATGTACTCCACCCCTTCAAACCCCATTCTCCTCGATTTTTTAGTCGACTCAAAAATGAACTCCACCCCTTCGAACCCCATTCTCCTCGATTTTTGAGTCGCCTCAAAAATGAACTCCACCCCTTCAAACCCCATTCTCCTCGATTTTTTAGTCGACTCAAAAATGAACTCCACCCCTTCGAACCCCATTCTCCTCGATTTTTGAGTCGCCTCAAAAATGAACTCCACCCCTTCAAACCCCATTCTCCTCGATTTTTGAGTCGCCTCAAAAATGAACTCCACCCCTTCAAACCCCATTCTCCTCGATTTTTGAGTCGCCTTAAAAATGAACTCCACCCCTTCGAACCCCATTCTCCTCGATTTTTGAGTCGCCTCAAAAATGAACTCCACCCCTTCAAACCCCATTCTCCTCGATTTTTGAGTCGCCTCAAAAATGAACTCCACCCCTTCAAACCCCATTCTCCTCGATTTTTTAGTCGCCTAAAAAATGAACTCCACCCCTTCAAACCCCATTCTCCTCGATTTTTGAGTCGCCTAAAAAATGAACTCCACCCCTTCAAACCCCATTCTCCTCGATTTTTGAGTCGCCTCAAAAATGAACTCCACCCCTTCAAACCCCATTCTCCTCGATTTTTGAGTCGCCTCAAAAATGAACTCCACCCCTTCGAACCCCATTCTCCTCGATTTTTGAGTCGCCTAAAAAATGAACTCCACCCCTTCAAACCCCATTCTCCTCGATTTTTGAGTCGCCTAAAAAATGAACTCCACCCCTTCGAACCCCATTCTCCTCGATTTTTGAGTCGCCTCAAAAATGAACTCCACCCCTTCAAACCCCATTCTCCTCGATTTTTGAGTCGCCTCAAAAATGAACTCCACCCCTTCAAACCCCATTCTCCTCGATTTTTGAGTCGCCTCAAAAATGAACTCCACCCCTTCGAAACCCCATTCTCCTCGATTTTTGAGTCGCCTCAAAAATGAACTCCACCCCTTCAAACCCCATTCTCCTCGATTTTTGAGTCGCCTCAAAAATGAACTCCACCCCTTCAAACCCCATTCTCCTCGATTTTTGAGTCGCCTCAAAAATGAACTCCACCCCTTCGAAACCCCATTCTCCTCGATTTTTGAGTCGCCTCAAAAATGAACTCCACCCCTTCAAACCCCATTCTCCTCGATTTTTGAGTCGCCTCAAAAATGAACTCCACCCCTTCAAACCCCATTCTCCTCGATTTTTTAGTCGACTCAAAAATGAACTCCACCCCTTCAAACCCCATTCTCCTCGATTTTTGAGTCGCCTCAAAAATGAACTCCACCCCTTCAAACCCCATTCTCCTCGATTTTTTAGTCGACTCAAAAATGAACTCCACCCCTTCGAACCCCATTCTCCTCGATTTTTGAGTCGCCTCAAAAATGAACTCCACCCCTTCAAACCACATTCTCCTCGATTTTTGAGTCGCCTAAAAAATGAACTCCACCCCTTCAAACCCCATTCTCCTCGATTTTTGAGTCGCCTCAAAAATGAACTCCACCCCTTCAAACCCCATTCTCCTCGATTTTTTAGTCGACTCAAAAATGAACTCCACCCCTTCAAACCCCATTCTCCTCGATTTTTGAGTCGCCTCAAAAATGAACTCCACCCCTTCAAACCCCATTCTCCTCGATTTTTTAGTCGACTCAAAAATGAACTCCACCCCTTCGAACCCCATTCTCCTCGATTTTTGAGTCGCCTCAAAAATGAACTCCACCCCTTCAAACCCCATTCTCCTCGATTTTTGAGTCGCCTCAAAAATGAACTCCACCCCTTCAAACCCCATTCTCCTCGATTTTTGAGTCGACTCAAAAATGAACTCCACCCCTTCAAACCCCATTCTCCTCGATTTTTGAGTCGCCTCAAAAATGAACTCCACCCCTTCAAACCCCATTCTCCTCGATTTTTGAGTCGCCTAAAAAATGAACTCCACCCCTTCAAACCCCATTCTCCTCGATTTTTGAGTCGCCTCAAAAATGAACTCCACCCCTTCAAACCCCATTCTCCTCGATTTTTTAGTCGACTCAAAAATGAACTCCACCCCTTCAAACCCCATTCTCCTCGATTTTTGAGTCGCCTCAAAAATGAACTCCACCCCTTCAAACCCCATTCTCCTCGATTTTTTAGTCGACTCAAAAATGAACTCCACCCCTTCGAACCCCATTCTCCTCGATTTTTGAGTCGCCTAAAAAATGAACTCCACCCCTTCAAACCACATTCTCCTCGATTTTTGAGTCGCCTAAAAAATGAACTCCACCCCTTCAAACCCCATTCTCCTCGATTTTTGAGTCGCCTCAAAAATGAACTCCACTCCTTCAAACCCCATTCTCCTCGATTTTTTAGTCGACTCAAAAATGAACTCCACCCCTTCAAACCCCATTCTCCTCGATTTTTGAGTCGCCTAAAAAATGAACTCCACCCCTTCAAACCCCATTCTCCTCGATTTTTGAGTCGCCTCAAAAATGAACTCCACCCCTTCAAACCCCATTCTCCTCGATTTTTGAGTCGACTCAAAAATGAACTCCACCCCTTCAAACCCCATTCTCCTCGATTTTTGAGTCGCCTCAAAAATGAACTCCACCCCTTCAAACCCCATTCTCCTCGATTTTTTAGTCGACTCAAAAATGAACTCCACCCCTTCGAACCCCATTCTCCTCGATTTTTGAGTCGCCTCAAAAATGAACTCCACCCCTTCAAACCCCATTCTCCTCGATTTTTGAGTCGCCTCAAAAATGAACTCCACCCCTTCAAACCCCATTCTCCTCGATTTTTGAGTCGCCTCAAAAATGAACTCCACCCCTTCAAACCCCATTCTCCTCGATTTTTGAGTCGCCTCAAAAATGAACTCCACCCCTTCAAACCCCATTCTCCTCGATTTTTGAGTCGCCTCAAAAATGAACTCCACCCCTTCAAACCCCATTCTCCTCGATTTTTTAGTCGCCTCAAAAATGAACTCCACCCCTTCAAACCCCATTCTCCTCGATTTTTGAGTCGCCTCAAAAATGAACTCCACCCCTTCAAACCCCATTCTCCTCGATTTTTTAGTCGACTCAAAAATGAACTCCACCCCTTCAAACCCCATTCTCCTCGATTTTTGAGTCGCCTCAAAAATGAACTCCACCCCTTCAAACCCCATTCTCCTCGATTTTTTAGTCGACTCAAAAATGAACTCCACCCCTTCAAACCCCATTCTCCTCGATTTTTGAGTCGCCTCAAAAATGAACTCCACCCCTTCAAACCCCATTCTCCTCGATTTTTTAGTCGACTCAAAAATGAACTCCACCCCTTCGAAACCCCATTCTCCTCGATTTTTGAGTCGCCTCAAAAATGAACTCCACCCCTTCAAACCCCATTCTCCTCGATTTTTGAGTCGCCTCAAAAATGAACTCCACCCCTTCAAACCCCATTCTCCTCGATTTTTGAGTCGCCTCAAAAATGAACTCCACCCCTTCAAACCCCATTCTCCTCGATTTTTGAGTCGCCTCAAAAATGAACTCCACCCCTTCAAACCCCATTCTCCTCGATTTTTGAGTCGCCTCAAAAATGAACTCCACCCCTTCAAACCCCATTCTCCTCGATTTTTTAGTCGACTCAAAAATGAACTCCACCCCTTCGAACCCCATTCTCCTCGATTTTTGAGTCGCCTCAAAAATGAACTCCACCCCTTCAAACCCCATTCTCCTCGATTTTTGAGTCGCCTCAAAAATGAACTCCACCCCTTCAAACCCCATTCTCCTCGATTTTTGAGTCGCCTCAAAAATGAACTCCACCCCTTCAAACCCCATTCTCCTCGATTTTTGAGTCGCCTCAAAAATGAACTCCACCCCTTCAAACCCCATTCTCCTCGATTTTTGAGTCGCCTCAAAAATGAACTCCACCCCTTCAAACCCCATTCTCCTCGATTTTTGAGTCGACTCAAAAATGAACTCCACCCCTTCAAACCCCATTCTCCTCGATTTTTGAGTCGCCTCAAAAATGAACTCCACCCCTTCAAACCCCATTCTCCTCGATTTTTGAGTCGCCTCAAAAATGAACTCCACCCCTTCAAACCCCATTCTCCTCGATTTTTGAGTCGCCTCAAAAATGAACTCCACCCCTTCAAACCCCATTCTCCTCGATTTTTGAGTCGCCTCAAAAATGAACTCCACCCCTTCAAACCCCATTCTCCTCGATTTTTGAGTCGCCTCAAAAATGAACTCCACCCCTTCAAACCCCATTCTCCTCGATTTTTGAGTCGCCTCAAAAATGAACTCCACCCCTTCAAACCCCATTCTCCTCGATTTTTGAGTCGCCTCAAAAATGAACTCCACCCCTTCAAACCCCATTCTCCTCGATTTTTGAGTCGCCTCAAAAATGAACTCCACCCCTTCAAACCCCATTCTCCTCGATTTTTGAGTCGCCTCAAAAATGAACTCCACCCCTTCAAACCCCATTCTCCTCGATTTTTGAGTCGCCTCAAAAATGAACTCCACCCCTTCAAACCCCATTCTCCTCGATTTTTGAGTCGCCTCAAAAATGAACTCCACCCCTTCAAACCCCATTCTCCTCGATTTTTGAGTCGCCTCAAAAATGAACTCCACCCCTTCAAACCCCATTCTCCTCGATTTTTGAGTCGCCTCAAAAATGAACTCCACCCCTTCAAACCCCATTCTCCTCGATTTTTGAGTCGCCTCAAAAATGAACTCCACCCCTTCAAACCCCATTCTCCTCGATTTTTGAGTCGCCTCAAAAATGAACTCCACCCCTTCAAACCCCATTCTCCTCGATTTTTGAGTCGCCTCAAAAATGAACTCCACCCCTTCAAACCCCATTCTCCTCGATTTTTGAGTCGCCTCAAAAATGAACTCCACCCCTTCAAACCCCATTCTCCTCGATTTTTGAGTCGCCTCAAAAATGAACTCCACCCCTTCAAACCCCATTCTCCTCGATTTTTTAGTCGACTCAAAAATGAACTCCACCCCTTCAAACCCCATTCTCCTCGATTTTTGAGTCGCCTCAAAAATGAACTCCACCCCTTCAAACCCCATTCTCCTCGATTTTTGAGTCGCCTCAAAAATGAACTCCACCCCTTCGAAACCCCATTCTCCTCGATTTTTGAGTCGCCTCAAAAATGAACTCCACCCCTTCAAACCCCATTCTCCTCGATTTTTGAGTCGCCTCAAAAATGAACTCCACCCCTTCAAACCCCATTCTCCTCGATTTTTGAGTCGCCTCAAAAATGAACTCCACCCCTTCAAACCCCATTCTCCTCGATTTTTGAGTCGCCTCAAAAATGAACTCCACCCCTTCAAACCCCATTCTCCTCGATTTTTGAGTCGCCTCAAAAATGAACTCCACCCCTTCAAACCCCATTCTCCTCGATTTTTGAGTCGCCTCAAAAATGAACTCCACCCCTTCAAACCCCATTCTCCTCGATTTTTGAGTCGCCTCAAAAATGAACTCCACCCCTTCAAACCCCATTCTCCTCGATTTTTGAGTCGCCTCAAAAATGAACTCCACCCCTTCAAACCCCATTCTCCTCGATTTTTGAGTCGCCTCAAAAATGAACTCCACCCCTTCAAACCCCATTCTCCTCGATTTTTGAGTCGCCTCAAAAATGAACTCCACCCCTTCAAACCCCATTCTCCTCGATTTTTGAGTCGCCTCAAAAATGAACTCCACCCCTTCAAACCCCATTCTCCTCGATTTTTGAGTCGCCTCAAAAATGAACTCCACCCCTTCAAACCCCATTCTCCTCGATTTTTGAGTCGCCTCAAAAATGAACTCCACCCCTTCAAACCCCATTCTCCTCGATTTTTGAGTCGCCTCAAAAATGAACTCCACCCCTTCAAACCCCATTCTCCTCGATTTTTGAGTCGCCTCAAAAATGAACTCCACCCCTTCAAACCCCATTCTCCTCGATTTTTGAGTCGCCTCAAAAATGAACTCCACCCCTTCAAACCCCATTCTCCTCGATTTTTGAGTCGCCTCAAAAATGAACTCCACCCCTTCAAACCCCATTCTCCTCGATTTTTGAGTCGCCTCAAAAATGAACTCCACCCCTTCAAACCCCATTCTCCTCGATTTTTGAGTCGCCTCAAAAATGAACTCCACCCCTTCAAACCCCATTCTCCTCGATTTTTGAGTCGCCTCAAAAATGAACTCCACCCCTTCAAACCCCATTCTCCTCGATTTTTGAGTCGCCTCAAAAATGAACTCCACCCCTTCAAACCCCATTCTCCTCGATTTTTGAGTCGCCTCAAAAATGAACTCCACCCCTTCAAACCCCATTCTCCTCGATTTTTGAGTCGCCTCAAAAATGAACTCCACCCCTTCAAACCCCATTCTCCTCGATTTTTGAGTCGCCTCAAAAATGAACTCCACCCCTTCAAACCCCATTCTCCTCGATTTTTGAGTCGCCTCAAAAATGAACTCCACCCCTTCAAACCCCATTCTCCTCGATTTTTGAGTCGCCTCAAAAATGAACTCCACCCCTTCAAACCCCATTCTCCTCGATTTTTGAGTCGCCTCAAAAATGAACTCCACCCCTTCAAACCCCATTCTCCTCGATTTTTGAGTCGCCTCAAAAATGAACTCCACCCCTTCAAACCCCATTCTCCTCGATTTTTGAGTCGCCTCAAAAATGAACTCCACCCCTTCAAACCCCATTCTCCTCGATTTTTGAGTCGCCTCAAAAATGAACTCCACCCCTTCAAACCCCATTCTCCTCGATTTTTGAGTCGCCTCAAAAATGAACTCCACCCCTTCAAACCCCATTCTCCTCGATTTTTGAGTCGCCTCAAAAATGAACTCCACCCCTTCAAACCCCATTCTCCTCGATTTTTGAGTCGCCTCAAAAATGAACTCCACCCCTTCAAACCCCATTCTCCTCGATTTTTGAGTCGCCTCAAAAATGAACTCCACCCCTTCAAACCCCATTCTCCTCGATTTTTGAGTCGCCTCAAAAATGAACTCCACCCCTTCAAACCCCATTCTCCTCGATTTTTGAGTCGCCTCAAAAATGAACTCCACCCCTTCAAACCCCATTCTCCTCGATTTTTGAGTCGCCTCAAAAATGAACTCCACCCCTTCAAACCCCATTCTCCTCGATTTTTGAGTCGCCTCAAAAATGAACTCCACCCCTTCAAACCCCATTCTCCTCGATTTTTGAGTCGCCTCAAAAATGAACTCCACCCCTTCAAACCCCATTCTCCTCGATTTTTGAGTCGCCTCAAAAATGAACTCCACCCCTTCAAACCCCATTCTCCTCGATTTTTGAGTCGCCTCAAAAATGAACTCCACCCCTTCAAACCCCATTCTCCTCGATTTTTGAGTCGCCTCAAAAATGAACTCCACCCCTTCAAACCCCATTCTCCTCGATTTTTGAGTCGCCTCAAAAATGAACTCCACCCCTTCAAACCCCATTCTCCTCGATTTTTGAGTCGCCTCAAAAATGAACTCCACCCCTTCAAACCCCATTCTCCTCGATTTTTGAGTCGCCTCAAAAATGAACTCCACCCCTTCAAACCCCATTCTCCTCGATTTTTGAGTCGCCTCAAAAATGAACTCCACCCCTTCAAACCCCATTCTCCTCGATTTTTGAGTCGCCTCAAAAATGAACTCCACCCCTTCAAACCCCATTCTCCTCGATTTTTGAGTCGCCTCAAAAATGAACTCCACCCCTTCAAACCCCATTCTCCTCGATTTTTGAGTCGCCTCAAAAATGAACTCCACCCCTTCAAACCCCATTCTCCTCGATTTTTGAGTCGCCTCAAAAATGAACTCCACCCCTTCAAACCCCATTCTCCTCGATTTTTGAGTCGCCTCAAAAATGAACTCCACCCCTTCAAACCCCATTCTCCTCGATTTTTGAGTCGCCTCAAAAATGAACTCCACCCCTTCAAACCCCATTCTCCTCGATTTTTGAGTCGCCTCAAAAATGAACTCCACCCCTTCAAACCCCATTCTCCTCGATTTTTGAGTCGCCTCAAAAATGAACTCCACCCCTTCAAACCCCATTCTCCTCGATTTTTGAGTCGCCTCAAAAATGAACTCCACCCCTTCAAACCCCATTCTCCTCGATTTTTGAGTCGCCTCAAAAATGAACTCCACCCCTTCAAACCCCATTCTCCTCGATTTTTGAGTCGCCTCAAAAATGAACTCCACCCCTTCAAACCCCATTCTCCTCGATTTTTGAGTCGCCTCAAAAATGAACTCCACCCCTTCAAACCCCATTCTCCTCGATTTTTGAGTCGCCTCAAAAATGAACTCCACCCCTTCAAACCCCATTCTCCTCGATTTTTGAGTCGCCTCAAAAATGAACTCCACCCCTTCAAACCCCATTCTCCTCGATTTTTGAGTCGCCTCAAAAATGAACTCCACCCCTTCAAACCCCATTCTCCTCGATTTTTGAGTCGCCTCAAAAATGAACTCCACCCCTTCAAACCCCATTCTCCTCGATTTTTGAGTCGCCTCAAAAATGAACTCCACCCCTTCAAACCCCATTCTCCTCGATTTTTGAGTCGCCTCAAAAATGAACTCCACCCCTTCAAACCCCATTCTCCTCGATTTTTGAGTCGCCTCAAAAATGAACTCCACCCCTTCAAACCCCATTCTCCTCGATTTTTGAGTCGCCTCAAAAATGAACTCCACCCCTTCAAACCCCATTCTCCTCGATTTTTGAGTCGCCTCAAAAATGAACTCCACCCCTTCAAACCCCATTCTCCTCGATTTTTGAGTCGCCTCAAAAATGAACTCCACCCCTTCAAACCCCATTCTCCTCGATTTTTGAGTCGCCTCAAAAATGAACTCCACCCCTTCAAACCCCATTCTCCTCGATTTTTGAGTCGCCTCAAAAATGAACTCCACCCCTTCAAACCCCATTCTCCTCGATTTTTGAGTCGCCTCAAAAATGAACTCCACCCCTTCAAACCCCATTCTCCTCGATTTTTGAGTCGCCTCAAAAATGAACTCCACCCCTTCAAACCCCATTCTCCTCGATTTTTGAGTCGCCTCAAAAATGAACTCCACCCCTTCAAACCCCATTCTCCTCGATTTTTGAGTCGCCTCAAAAATGAACTCCACCCCTTCAAACCCCATTCTCCTCGATTTTTGAGTCGCCTCAAAAATGAACTCCACCCCTTCAAACCCCATTCTCCTCGATTTTTGAGTCGCCTCAAAAATGAACTCCACCCCTTCAAACCCCATTCTCCTCGATTTTTGAGTCGCCTCAAAAATGAACTCCACCCCTTCAAACCCCATTCTCCTCGATTTTTGAGTCGCCTCAAAAATGAACTCCACCCCTTCAAACCCCATTCTCCTCGATTTTTGAGTCGCCTCAAAAATGAACTCCACCCCTTCAAACCCCATTCTCCTCGATTTTTGAGTCGCCTCAAAAATGAACTCCACCCCTTCAAACCCCATTCTCCTCGATTTTTGAGTCGCCTCAAAAATGAACTCCACCCCTTCAAACCCCATTCTCCTCGATTTTTGAGTCGCCTCAAAAATGAACTCCACCCCTTCAAACCCCATTCTCCTCGATTTTTGAGTCGCCTCAAAAATGAACTCCACCCCTTCAAACCCCATTCTCCTCGATTTTTGAGTCGCCTCAAAAATGAACTCCACCCCTTCAAACCCCATTCTCCTCGATTTTTGAGTCGCCTCAAAAATGAACTCCACCCCTTCAAACCCCATTCTCCTCGATTTTTGAGTCGCCTCAAAAATGAACTCCACCCCTTCAAACCCCATTCTCCTCGATTTTTGAGTCGCCTCAAAAATGAACTCCACCCCTTCAAACCCCATTCTCCTCGATTTTTGAGTCGCCTCAAAAATGAACTCCACCCCTTCAAACCCCATTCTCCTCGATTTTTGAGTCGCCTCAAAAATGAACTCCACCCCTTCAAACCCCATTCTCCTCGATTTTTGAGTCGCCTCAAAAATGAACTCCACCCCTTCAAACCCCATTCTCCTCGATTTTTGAGTCGCCTCAAAAATGAACTCCACCCCTTCAAACCCCATTCTCCTCGATTTTTTAGTCGACTCAAAAATGAACTCCACCCCTTCAAACCCCATTCTCCTCGATTTTTGAGTCGCCTCAAAAATGAACTCCACCCCTTCAAACCCCATTCTCCTCGATTTTTGAGTCGCCTCAAAAATGAACTCCACCCCTTCAAACCCCATTCTCCTCGATTTTTGAGTCGCCTCAAAAATGAACTCCACCCCTTCAAACCCCATTCTCCTCGATTTTTGAGTCGCCTCAAAAATGAACTCCACCCCTTCAAACCCCATTCTCCTCGATTTTTGAGTCGCCTCAAAAATGAACTCCACCCCTTCAAACCCCATTCTCCTCGATTTTTGAGTCGCCTCAAAAATGAACTCCACCCCTTCAAACCCCATTCTCCTCGATTTTTGAGTCGCCTCAAAAATGAACTCCACCCCTTCAAACCCCATTCTCCTCGATTTTTGAGTCGCCTCAAAAATGAACTCCACCCCTTCAAACCCCATTCTCCTCGATTTTTGAGTCGCCTCAAAAATGAACTCCACCCCTTCAAACCCCATTCTCCTCGATTTTTGAGTCGCCTCAAAAATGAACTCCACCCCTTCAAACCCCATTCTCCTCGATTTTTGAGTCGCCTCAAAAATGAACTCCACCCCTTCAAACCCCATTCTCCTCGATTTTTGAGTCGCCTCAAAAATGAACTCCACCCCTTCAAACCCCATTCTCCTCGATTTTTGAGTCGCCTCAAAAATGAACTCCACCCCTTCAAACCCCATTCTCCTCGATTTTTGAGTCGCCTCAAAAATGAACTCCACCCCTTCAAACCCCATTCTCCTCGATTTTTGAGTCGCCTCAAAAATGAACTCCACCCCTTCAAACCCCATTCTCCTCGATTTTTGAGTCGCCTCAAAAATGAACTCCACCCCTTCAAACCCCATTCTCCTCGATTTTTGAGTCGCCTCAAAAATGAACTCCACCCCTTCAAACCCCATTCTCCTCGATTTTTGAGTCGCCTCAAAAATGAACTCCACCCCTTCAAACCCCATTCTCCTCGATTTTTGAGTCGCCTCAAAAATGAACTCCACCCCTTCAAACCCCATTCTCCTCGATTTTTGAGTCGCCTCAAAAATGAACTCCACCCCTTCAAACCCCATTCTCCTCGATTTTTGAGTCGCCTCAAAAATGAACTCCACCCCTTCAAACCCCATTCTCCTCGATTTTTGAGTCGCCTCAAAAATGAACTCCACCCCTTCAAACCCCATTCTCCTCGATTTTTGAGTCGCCTCAAAAATGAACTCCACCCCTTCAAACCCCATTCTCCTCGATTTTTGAGTCGCCTCAAAAATGAACTCCACCCCTTCAAACCCCATTCTCCTCGATTTTTGAGTCGCCTCAAAAATGAACTCCACCCCTTCAAACCCCATTCTCCTCGATTTTTGAGTCGCCTCAAAAATGAACTCCACCCCTTCAAACCCCATTCTCCTCGATTTTTGAGTCGCCTCAAAAATGAACTCCACCCCTTCAAACCCCATTCTCCTCGATTTTTGAGTCGCCTCAAAAATGAACTCCACCCCTTCAAACCCCATTCTCCTCGATTTTTGAGTCGCCTCAAAAATGAACTCCACCCCTTCAAACCCCATTCTCCTCGATTTTTGAGTCGCCTCAAAAATGAACTCCACCCCTTCAAACCCCATTCTCCTCGATTTTTGAGTCGCCTCAAAAATGAACTCCACCCCTTCAAACCCCATTCTCCTCGATTTTTGAGTCGCCTCAAAAATGAACTCCACCCCTTCAAACCCCATTCTCCTCGATTTTTGAGTCGCCTCAAAAATGAACTCCACCCCTTCAAACCCCATTCTCCTCGATTTTTGAGTCGCCTCAAAAATGAACTCCACCCCTTCAAACCCCATTCTCCTCGATTTTTGAGTCGCCTCAAAAATGAACTCCACCCCTTCAAACCCCATTCTCCTCGATTTTTGAGTCGCCTCAAAAATGAACTCCACCCCTTCAAACCCCATTCTCCTCGATTTTTGAGTCGCCTCAAAAATGAACTCCACCCCTTCAAACCCCATTCTCCTCGATTTTTGAGTCGCCTCAAAAATGAACTCCACCCCTTCAAACCCCATTCTCCTCGATTTTTGAGTCGCCTCAAAAATGAACTCCACCCCTTCAAACCCCATTCTCCTCGATTTTTGAGTCGCCTCAAAAATGAACTCCACCCCTTCAAACCCCATTCTCCTCGATTTTTGAGTCGCCTCAAAAATGAACTCCACCCCTTCAAACCCCATTCTCCTCGATTTTTGAGTCGCCTCAAAAATGAACTCCACCCCTTCAAACCCCATTCTCCTCGATTTTTGAGTCGCCTCAAAAATGAACTCCACCCCTTCAAACCCCATTCTCCTCGATTTTTTAGTCGCCTCAAAAATGAACTCCACCCCTTCAAACCCCATTCTCCTCGATTTTTGAGTCGCCTCAAAAATGAACTCCACCCCTTCAAACCCCATTCTCCTCGATTTTTGAGTCGCCTCAAAAATGAACTCCACCCCTTCAAACCCCATTCTCCTCGATTTTTGAGTCGCCTCAAAAATGAACTCCACCCCTTCAAACCCCATTCTCCTCGATTTTTGAGTCGCCTCAAAAATGAACTCCACCCCTTCAAACCCCATTCTCCTCGATTTTTGAGTCGCCTCAAAAATGAACTCCACCCCTTCAAACCCCATTCTCCTCGATTTTTGAGTCGCCTCAAAAATGAACTCCACCCCTTCAAACCCCATTCTCCTCGATTTTTGAGTCGCCTCAAAAATGAACTCCACCCCTTCAAACCCCATTCTCCTCGATTTTTGAGTCGCCTCAAAAATGAACTCCACCCCTTCAAACCCCATTCTCCTCGATTTTTGAGTCGCCTCAAAAATGAACTCCACCCCTTCAAACCCCATTCTCCTCGATTTTTGAGTCGCCTCAAAAATGAACTCCACCCCTTCAAACCCCATTCTCCTCGATTTTTGAGTCGCCTCAAAAATGAACTCCACCCCTTCAAACCCCATTCTCCTCGATTTTTGAGTCGCCTCAAAAATGAACTCCACCCCTTCAAACCCCATTCTCCTCGATTTTTGAGTCGCCTCAAAAATGAACTCCACCCCTTCAAACCCCATTCTCCTCGATTTTTGAGTCGCCTCAAAAATGAACTCCACCCCTTCAAACCCCATTCTCCTCGATTTTTGAGTCGCCTCAAAAATGAACTCCACCCCTTCAAACCCCATTCTCCTCGATTTTTGAGTCGCCTCAAAAATGAACTCCACCCCTTCAAACCCCATTCTCCTCGATTTTTGAGTCGCCTCAAAAATGAACTCCACCCCTTCAAACCCCATTCTCCTCGATTTTTGAGTCGCCTCAAAAATGAACTCCACCCCTTCAAACCCCATTCTCCTCGATTTTTGAGTCGCCTCAAAAATGAACTCCACCCCTTCAAACCCCATTCTCCTCGATTTTTGAGTCGCCTCAAAAATGAACTCCACCCCTTCAAACCCCATTCTCCTCGATTTTTGAGTCGCCTCAAAAATGAACTCCACCCCTTCAAACCCCATTCTCCTCGATTTTTGAGTCGCCTCAAAAATGAACTCCACCCCTTCAAACCCCATTCTCCTCGATTTTTGAGTCGCCTCAAAAATGAACTCCACCCCTTCAAACCCCATTCTCCTCGATTTTTGAGTCGCCTCAAAAATGAACTCCACCCCTTCAAACCCCATTCTCCTCGATTTTTGAGTCGCCTCAAAAATGAACTCCACCCCTTCAAACCCCATTCTCCTCGATTTTTGAGTCGCCTCAAAAATGAACTCCACCCCTTCAAACCCCATTCTCCTCGATTTTTGAGTCGCCTCAAAAATGAACTCCACCCCTTCAAACCCCATTCTCCTCGATTTTTGAGTCGCCTCAAAAATGAACTCCACCCCTTCAAACCCCATTCTCCTCGATTTTTGAGTCGCCTCAAAAATGAACTCCACCCCTTCAAACCCCATTCTCCTCGATTTTTGAGTCGCCTCAAAAATGAACTCCACCCCTTCAAACCCCATTCTCCTCGATTTTTGAGTCGCCTCAAAAATGAACTCCACCCCTTCAAACCCCATTCTCCTCGATTTTTGAGTCGCCTCAAAAATGAACTCCACCCCTTCAAACCCCATTCTCCTCGATTTTTGAGTCGCCTCAAAAATGAACTCCACCCCTTCAAACCCCATTCTCCTCGATTTTTGAGTCGCCTCAAAAATGAACTCCACCCCTTCAAACCCCATTCTCCTCGATTTTTGAGTCGCCTCAAAAATGAACTCCACCCCTTCAAACCCCATTCTCCTCGATTTTTGAGTCGCCTCAAAAATGAACTCCACCCCTTCAAACCCCATTCTCCTCGATTTTTGAGTCGCCTCAAAAATGAACTCCACCCCTTCAAACCCCATTCTCCTCGATTTTTGAGTCGCCTCAAAAATGAACTCCACCCCTTCAAACCCCATTCTCCTCGATTTTTGAGTCGCCTCAAAAATGAACTCCACCCCTTCAAACCCCATTCTCCTCGATTTTTGAGTCGCCTCAAAAATGAACTCCACCCCTTCAAACCCCATTCTCCTCGATTTTTGAGTCGCCTCAAAATGAACTCCACCCCTTCAAACCCCATTCTCCTCGATTTTTGAGTCGCCTCAAAAATGAACTCCACCCCTTCAAACCCCATTCTCCTCGATTTTTGAGTCGCCTCAAAAATGAACTCCACCCCTTCAAACCCCATTCTCCTCGATTTTTGAGTCGCCTCAAAAATGAACTCCACCCCTTCAAACCCCATTCTCCTCGATTTTTGAGTCGCCTCAAAAATGAACTCCACCCCTTCAAACCCCATTCTCCTCGATTTTTGAGTCGCCTCAAAAATGAACTCCACCCCTTCAAACCCCATTCTCCTCGATTTTTGAGTCGCCTCAAAAATGAACTCCACCCCTTCAAACCCCATTCTCCTCGATTTTTGAGTCGCCTCAAAAATGAACTCCACCCCTTCAAACCCCATTCTCCTCGATTTTTGAGTCGCCTCAAAAATGAACTCCACCCCTTCAAACCCCATTCTCCTCGATTTTTGAGTCGCCTCAAAAATGAACTCCACCCCTTCAAACCCCATTCTCCTCGATTTTTGAGTCGCCTCAAAAATGAACTCCACCCCTTCAAACCCCATTCTCCTCGATTTTTGAGTCGCCTCAAAAATGAACTCCACCCCTTCAAACCCCATTCTCCTCGATTTTTGAGTCGCCTCAAAAATGAACTCCACCCCTTCAAACCCCATTCTCCTCGATTTTTGAGTCGCCTCAAAAATGAACTCCACCCCTTCAAACCCCATTCTCCTCGATTTTTGAGTCGCCTCAAAAATGAACTCCACCCCTTCAAACCCCATTCTCCTCGATTTTTGAGTCGCCTCAAAAATGAACTCCACCCCTTCAAACCCCATTCTCCTCGATTTTTGAGTCGCCTCAAAAATGAACTCCACCCCTTCAAACCCCATTCTCCTCGATTTTTGAGTCGCCTCAAAAATGAACTCCACCCCTTCAAACCCCATTCTCCTCGATTTTTGAGTCGCCTCAAAAATGAACTCCACCCCTTCAAACCCCATTCTCCTCGATTTTTGAGTCGCCTCAAAAATGAACTCCACCCCTTCAAACCCCATTCTCCTCGATTTTTGAGTCGCCTCAAAAATGAACTCCACCCCTTCAAACCCCATTCTCCTCGATTTTTGAGTCGCCTCAAAAATGAACTCCACCCCTTCAAACCCCATTCTCCTCGATTTTTGAGTCGCCTCAAAAATGAACTCCACCCCTTCAAACCCCATTCTCCTCGATTTTTGAGTCGCCTCAAAAATGAACTCCACCCCTTCAAACCCCATTCTCCTCGATTTTTGAGTCGCCTCAAAAATGAACTCCACCCCTTCAAACCCCATTCTCCTCGATTTTTGAGTCGCCTCAAAAATGAACTCCACCCCTTCAAACCCCATTCTCCTCGATTTTTGAGTCGCCTCAAAAATGAACTCCACCCCTTCAAACCCCATTCTCCTCGATTTTTGAGTCGCCTCAAAAATGAACTCCACCCCTTCAAACCCCATTCTCCTCGATTTTTGAGTCGCCTCAAAAATGAACTCCACCCCTTCAAACCCCATTCTCCTCGATTTTTGAGTCGCCTCAAAAATGAACTCCACCCCTTCAAACCCCATTCTCCTCGATTTTTGAGTCGCCTCAAAAATGAACTCCACCCCTTCAAACCCCATTCTCCTCGATTTTTGAGTCGCCTCAAAAATGAACTCCACCCCTTCAAACCCCATTCTCCTCGATTTTTGAGTCGCCTCAAAAATGAACTCCACCCCTTCAAACCCCATTCTCCTCGATTTTTGAGTCGCCTCAAAAATGAACTCCACCCCTTCAAACCCCATTCTCCTCGATTTTTGAGTCGCCTCAAAAATGAACTCCACCCCTTCAAACCCCATTCTCCTCGATTTTTGAGTCGCCTCAAAAATGAACTCCACCCCTTCAAACCCCATTCTCCTCGATTTTTGAGTCGCCTCAAAAATGAACTCCACCCCTTCAAACCCCATTCTCCTCGATTTTTGAGTCGCCTCAAAAATGAACTCCACCCCTTCAAACCCCATTCTCCTCGATTTTTGAGTCGCCTCAAAAATGAACTCCACCCCTTCAAACCCCATTCTCCTCGATTTTTGAGTCGCCTCAAAAATGAACTCCACCCCTTCAAACCCCATTCTCCTCGATTTTTGAGTCGCCTCAAAAATGAACTCCACCCCTTCAAACCCCATTCTCCTCGATTTTTGAGTCGCCTCAAAAATGAACTCCACCCCTTCAAACCCCATTCTCCTCGATTTTTGAGTCGCCTCAAAAATGAACTCCACCCCTTCAAACCCCATTCTCCTCGATTTTTGAGTCGCCTCAAAAATGAACTCCACCCCTTCAAACCCCATTCTCCTCGATTTTTGAGTCGCCTCAAAAATGAACTCCACCCCTTCAAACCCCATTCTCCTCGATTTTTGAGTCGCCTCAAAAATGAACTCCACCCCTTCAAACCCCATTCTCCTCGATTTTTGAGTCGCCTCAAAAATGAACTCCACCCCTTCAAACCCCATTCTCCTCGATTTTTGAGTCGCCTCAAAAATGAACTCCACCCCTTCAAACCCCATTCTCCTCGATTTTTGAGTCGCCTCAAAAATGAACTCCACCCCTTCAAACCCCATTCTCCTCGATTTTTGAGTCGCCTCAAAAATGAACTCCACCCCTTCAAACCCCATTCTCCTCGATTTTTGAGTCGCCTCAAAAATGAACTCCACCCCTTCAAACCCCATTCTCCTCGATTTTTGAGTCGCCTCAAAAATGAACTCCACCCCTTCAAACCCCATTCTCCTCGATTTTTGAGTCGCCTCAAAAATGAACTCCACCCCTTCAAACCCCATTCTCCTCGATTTTTGAGTCGCCTCAAAAATGAACTCCACCCCTTCAAACCCCATTCTCCTCGATTTTTGAGTCGCCTCAAAAATGAACTCCACCCCTTCAAACCCCATTCTCCTCGATTTTTGAGTCGCCTCAAAAATGAACTCCACCCCTTCAAACCCCATTCTCCTCGATTTTTGAGTCGCCTCAAAAATGAACTCCACCCCTTCAAACCCCATTCTCCTCGATTTTTGAGTCGCCTCAAAAATGAACTCCACCCCTTCAAACCCCATTCTCCTCGATTTTTGAGTCGCCTCAAAAATGAACTCCACCCCTTCAAACCCCATTCTCCTCGATTTTTGAGTCGCCTCAAAAATGAACTCCACCCCTTCAAACCCCATTCTCCTCGATTTTTGAGTCGCCTCAAAAATGAACTCCACCCCTTCAAACCCCATTCTCCTCGATTTTTGAGTCGCCTCAAAAATGAACTCCACCCCTTCAAACCCCATTCTCCTCGATTTTTGAGTCGCCTCAAAAATGAACTCCACCCCTTCAAACCCCATTCTCCTCGATTTTTGAGTCGCCTCAAAAATGAACTCCACCCCTTCAAACCCCATTCTCCTCGATTTTTGAGTCGCCTCAAAAATGAACTCCACCCCTTCAAACCCCATTCTCCTCGATTTTTGAGTCGCCTCAAAAATGAACTCCACCCCTTCAAACCCCATTCTCCTCGATTTTTGAGTCGCCTCAAAAATGAACTCCACCCCTTCAAACCCCATTCTCCTCGATTTTTGAGTCGCCTCAAAAATGAACTCCACCCCTTCAAACCCCATTCTCCTCGATTTTTGAGTCGCCTCAAAAATGAACTCCACCCCTTCAAACCCCATTCTCCTCGATTTTTGAGTCGCCTCAAAAATGAACTCCACCCCTTCAAACCCCATTCTCCTCGATTTTTGAGTCGCCTCAAAAATGAACTCCACCCCTTCAAACCCCATTCTCCTCGATTTTTGAGTCGCCTCAAAAATGAACTCCACCCCTTCAAACCCCATTCTCCTCGATTTTTGAGTCGCCTCAAAAATGAACTCCACCCCTTCAAACCCCATTCTCCTCGATTTTTGAGTCGCCTCAAAAATGAACTCCACCCCTTCAAACCCCATTCTCCTCGATTTTTGAGTCGCCTCAAAAATGAACTCCACCCCTTCAAACCCCATTCTCCTCGATTTTTGAGTCGCCTCAAAAATGAACTCCACCCCTTCAAACCCCATTCTCCTCGATTTTTGAGTCGCCTCAAAAATGAACTCCACCCCTTCAAACCCCATTCTCCTCGATTTTTGAGTCGCCTCAAAAATGAACTCCACCCCTTCAAACCCCATTCTCCTCGATTTTTGAGTCGCCTCAAAAATGAACTCCACCCCTTCAAACCCCATTCTCCTCGATTTTTGAGTCGCCTCAAAAATGAACTCCACCCCTTCAAACCCCATTCTCCTCGATTTTTGAGTCGCCTCAAAAATGAACTCCACCCCTTCAAACCCCATTCTCCTCGATTTTTGAGTCGCCTCAAAAATGAACTCCACCCCTTCAAACCCCATTCTCCTCGATTTTTGAGTCGCCTCAAAAATGAACTCCACCCCTTCAAACCCCATTCTCCTCGATTTTTGAGTCGCCTCAAAAATGAACTCCACCCCTTCAAACCCCATTCTCCTCGATTTTTGAGTCGCCTCAAAAATGAACTCCACCCCTTCAAACCCCATTCTCCTCGATTTTTGAGTCGCCTCAAAAATGAACTCCACCCCTTCAAACCCCATTCTCCTCGATTTTTGAGTCGCCTCAAAAATGAACTCCACCCCTTCAAACCCCATTCTCCTCGATTTTTGAGTCGCCTCAAAAATGAACTCCACCCCTTCAAACCCCATTCTCCTCGATTTTTGAGTCGCCTCAAAAATGAACTCCACCCCTTCAAACCCCATTCTCCTCGATTTTTGAGTCGCCTCAAAAATGAACTCCACCCCTTCAAACCCCATTCTCCTCGATTTTTGAGTCGCCTCAAAAATGAACTCCACCCCTTCAAACCCCATTCTCCTCGATTTTTGAGTCGCCTCAAAAATGAACTCCACCCCTTCAAACCCCATTCTCCTCGATTTTTGAGTCGCCTCAAAAATGAACTCCACCCCTTCAAACCCCATTCTCCTCGATTTTTGAGTCGCCTCAAAAATGAACTCCACCCCTTCAAACCCCATTCTCCTCGATTTTTGAGTCGCCTCAAAAATGAACTCCACCCCTTCAAACCCCATTCTCCTCGATTTTTGAGTCGCCTCAAAAATGAACTCCACCCCTTCAAACCCCATTCTCCTCGATTTTTGAGTCGCCTCAAAAATGAACTCCACCCCTTCAAACCCCATTCTCCTCGATTTTTGAGTCGCCTCAAAAATGAACTCCACCCCTTCAAACCCCATTCTCCTCGATTTTTGAGTCGCCTCAAAAATGAACTCCACCCCTTCAAACCCCATTCTCCTCGATTTTTGAGTCGCCTCAAAAATGAACTCCACCCCTTCAAACCCCATTCTCCTCGATTTTTGAGTCGCCTCAAAAATGAACTCCACCCCTTCAAACCCCATTCTCCTCGATTTTTGAGTCGCCTCAAAAATGAACTCCACCCCTTCAAACCCCATTCTCCTCGATTTTTGAGTCGCCTCAAAAATGAACTCCACCCCTTCAAACCCCATTCTCCTCGATTTTTGAGTCGCCTCAAAAATGAACTCCACCCCTTCAAACCCCATTCTCCTCGATTTTTGAGTCGCCTCAAAAATGAACTCCACCCCTTCAAACCCCATTCTCCTCGATTTTTGAGTCGCCTCAAAAATGAACTCCACCCCTTCAAACCCCATTCTCCTCGATTTTTGAGTCGCCTCAAAAATGAACTCCACCCCTTCAAACCCCATTCTCCTCGATTTTTGAGTCGCCTCAAAAATGAACTCCACCCCTTCAAACCCCATTCTCCTCGATTTTTGAGTCGCCTCAAAAATGAACTCCACCCCTTCAAACCCCATTCTCCTCGATTTTTGAGTCGCCTCAAAAATGAACTCCACCCCTTCAAACCCCATTCTCCTCGATTTTTGAGTCGCCTCAAAAATGAACTCCACCCCTTCAAACCCCATTCTCCTCGATTTTTGAGTCGCCTCAAAAATGAACTCCACCCCTTCAAACCCCATTCTCCTCGATTTTTGAGTCGCCTCAAAAATGAACTCCACCCCTTCAAACCCCATTCTCCTCGATTTTTGAGTCGCCTCAAAAATGAACTCCACCCCTTCAAACCCCATTCTCCTCGATTTTTGAGTCGCCTCAAAAATGAACTCCACCCCTTCAAACCCCATTCTCCTCGATTTTTGAGTCGCCTCAAAAATGAACTCCACCCCTTCAAACCCCATTCTCCTCGATTTTTGAGTCGCCTCAAAAATGAACTCCACCCCTTCAAACCCCATTCTCCTCGATTTTTGAGTCGCCTCAAAAATGAACTCCACCCCTTCAAACCCCATTCTCCTCGATTTTTGAGTCGCCTCAAAAATGAACTCCACCCCTTCAAACCCCATTCTCCTCGATTTTTGAGTCGCCTCAAAAATGAACTCCACCCCTTCAAACCCCATTCTCCTCGATTTTTGAGTCGCCTCAAAAATGAACTCCACCCCTTCAAACCCCATTCTCCTCGATTTTTGAGTCGCCTCAAAAATGAACTCCACCCCTTCAAACCCCATTCTCCTCGATTTTTGAGTCGCCTCAAAAATGAACTCCACCCCTTCAAACCCCATTCTCCTCGATTTTTGAGTCGCCTCAAAAATGAACTCCACCCCTTCAAACCCCATTCTCCTCGATTTTTGAGTCGCCTCAAAAATGAACTCCACCCCTTCAAACCCCATTCTCCTCGATTTTTGAGTCGCCTCAAAAATGAACTCCACCCCTTCAAACCCCATTCTCCTCGATTTTTGAGTCGCCTCAAAAATGAACTCCACCCCTTCAAACCCCATTCTCCTCGATTTTTGAGTCGCCTCAAAAATGAACTCCACCCCTTCAAACCCCATTCTCCTCGATTTTTGAGTCGCCTCAAAAATGAACTCCACCCCTTCAAACCCCATTCTCCTCGATTTTTGAGTCGCCTCAAAAATGAACTCCACCCCTTCAAACCCCATTCTCCTCGATTTTTGAGTCGCCTCAAAAATGAACTCCACCCCTTCAAACCCCATTCTCCTCGATTTTTGAGTCGCCTCAAAAATGAACTCCACCCCTTCAAACCCCATTCTCCTCGATTTTTGAGTCGCCTCAAAAATGAACTCCACCCCTTCAAACCCCATTCTCCTCGATTTTTGAGTCGCCTCAAAAATGAACTCCACCCCTTCAAACCCCATTCTCCTCGATTTTTGAGTCGCCTCAAAAATGAACTCCACCCCTTCAAACCCCATTCTCCTCGATTTTTGAGTCGCCTCAAAAATGAACTCCACCCCTTCAAACCCCATTCTCCTCGATTTTTGAGTCGCCTCAAAAATGAACTCCACCCCTTCAAACCCCATTCTCCTCGATTTTTTAGTCGCCTCAAAAATGAACTCCACCCCTTCAAACCCCATTCTCCTCGATTTTTGAGTCGCCTCAAAAATGAACTCCACCCCTTCAAACCCCATTCTCCTCGATTTTTGAGTCGCCTCAAAAATGAACTCCACCCCTTCAAACCCCATTCTCCTCGATTTTTGAGTCGCCTCAAAAATGAACTCCACCCCTTCAAACCCCATTCTCCTCGATTTTTGAGTCGCCTCAAAAATGAACTCCACCCCTTCAAACCCCATTCTCCTCGATTTTTGAGTCGCCTCAAAAATGAACTCCACCCCTTCAAACCCCATTCTCCTCGATTTTTGAGTCGCCTCAAAAATGAACTCCACCCCTTCAAACCCCATTCTCCTCGATTTTTGAGTCGCCTCAAAAATGAACTCCACCCCTTCAAACCCCATTCTCCTCGATTTTTTAGTCGACTCAAAAATGAACTCCACCCCTTCAAACCCCATTCTCCTCGATTTTTGAGTCGCCTCAAAAATGAACTCCACCCCTTCAAACCCCATTCTCCTCGATTTTTGAGTCGCCTCAAAAATGAACTCCACCCCTTCAAACCCCATTCTCCTCGATTTTTGAGTCGCCTCAAAAATGAACTCCACCCCTTCAAACCCCATTCTCCTCGATTTTTGAGTCGCCTCAAAAATGAACTCCACCCCTTCAAACCCCATTCTCCTCGATTTTTGAGTCGCCTCAAAAATGAACTCCACCCCTTCAAACCCCATTCTCCTCGATTTTTGAGTCGCCTCAAAAATGAACTCCACCCCTTCAAACCCCATTCTCCTCGATTTTTGAGTCGCCTCAAAAATGAACTCCACCCCTTCAAACCCCATTCTCCTCGATTTTTGAGTCGCCTCAAAAATGAACTCCACCCCTTCAAACCCCATTCTCCTCGATTTTTGAGTCGCCTCAAAAATGAACTCCACCCCTTCAAACCCCATTCTCCTCGATTTTTGAGTCGCCTCAAAAATGAACTCCACCCCTTCAAACCCCATTCTCCTCGATTTTTGAGTCGCCTCAAAAATGAACTCCACCCCTTCAAACCCCATTCTCCTCGATTTTTGAGTCGCCTCAAAAATGAACTCCACCCCTTCAAACCCCATTCTCCTCGATTTTTGAGTCGCCTCAAAAATGAACTCCACCCCTTCAAACCCCATTCTCCTCGATTTTTGAGTCGCCTCAAAAATGAACTCCACCCCTTCAAACCCCATTCTCCTCGATTTTTGAGTCGCCTCAAAAATGAACTCCACCCCTTCAAACCCCATTCTCCTCGATTTTTGAGTCGCCTCAAAAATGAACTCCACCCCTTCAAACCCCATTCTCCTCGATTTTTGAGTCGCCTCAAAAATGAACTCCACCCCTTCAAACCCCATTCTCCTCGATTTTTGAGTCGCCTCAAAAATGAACTCCACCCCTTCAAACCCCATTCTCCTCGATTTTTGAGTCGCCTCAAAAATGAACTCCACCCCTTCAAACCCCATTCTCCTCGATTTTTGAGTCGCCTCAAAAATGAACTCCACCCCTTCAAACCCCATTCTCCTCGATTTTTGAGTCGCCTCAAAAATGAACTCCACCCCTTCAAACCCCATTCTCCTCGATTTTTGAGTCGCCTCAAAAATGAACTCCACCCCTTCAAACCCCATTCTCCTCGATTTTTGAGTCGCCTCAAAAATGAACTCCACCCCTTCAAACCCCATTCTCCTCGATTTTTGAGTCGCCTCAAAAATGAACTCCACCCCTTCAAACCCCATTCTCCTCGATTTTTGAGTCGCCTCAAAAATGAACTCCACCCCTTCAAACCCCATTCTCCTCGATTTTTGAGTCGCCTCAAAAATGAACTCCACCCCTTCAAACCCCATTCTCCTCGATTTTTGAGTCGCCTCAAAAATGAACTCCACCCCTTCAAACCCCATTCTCCTCGATTTTTGAGTCGCCTCAAAAATGAACTCCACCCCTTCAAACCCCATTCTCCTCGATTTTTGAGTCGCCTCAAAAATGAACTCCACCCCTTCAAACCCCATTCTCCTCGATTTTTGAGTCGCCTCAAAAATGAACTCCACCCCTTCAAACCCCATTCTCCTCGATTTTTGAGTCGCCTCAAAAATGAACTCCACCCCTTCAAACCCCATTCTCCTCGATTTTTGAGTCGCCTCAAAAATGAACTCCACCCCTTCAAACCCCATTCTCCTCGATTTTTGAGTCGCCTCAAAAATGAACTCCACCCCTTCAAACCCCATTCTCCTCGATTTTTGAGTCGCCTCAAAAATGAACTCCACCCCTTCAAACCCCATTCTCCTCGATTTTTGAGTCGCCTCAAAAATGAACTCCACCCCTTCAAACCCCATTCTCCTCGATTTTTGAGTCGCCTCAAAAATGAACTCCACCCCTTCAAACCCCATTCTCCTCGATTTTTGAGTCGCCTCAAAAATGAACTCCACCCCTTCAAACCCCATTCTCCTCGATTTTTGAGTCGCCTCAAAAATGAACTCCACCCCTTCAAACCCCATTCTCCTCGATTTTTGAGTCGCCTCAAAAATGAACTCCACCCCTTCAAACCCCATTCTCCTCGATTTTTGAGTCGCCTCAAAAATGAACTCCACCCCTTCAAACCCCATTCTCCTCGATTTTTGAGTCGCCTCAAAAATGAACTCCACCCCTTCAAACCCCATTCTCCTCGATTTTTGAGTCGCCTCAAAAATGAACTCCACCCCTTCAAACCCCATTCTCCTCGATTTTTGAGTCGCCTCAAAAATGAACTCCACCCCTTCAAACCCCATTCTCCTCGATTTTTGAGTCGCCTCAAAAATGAACTCCACCCCTTCAAACCCCATTCTCCTCGATTTTTGAGTCGCCTCAAAAATGAACTCCACCCCTTCAAACCCCATTCTCCTCGATTTTTGAGTCGCCTCAAAAATGAACTCCACCCCTTCAAACCCCATTCTCCTCGATTTTTGAGTCGCCTCAAAAATGAACTCCACCCCTTCAAACCCCATTCTCCTCGATTTTTGAGTCGCCTCAAAAATGAACTCCACCCCTTCAAACCCCATTCTCCTCGATTTTTGAGTCGCCTCAAAAATGAACTCCACCCCTTCAAACCCCATTCTCCTCGATTTTTGAGTCGCCTCAAAAATGAACTCCACCCCTTCAAACCCCATTCTCCTCGATTTTTGAGTCGCCTCAAAAATGAACTCCACCCCTTCAAACCCCATTCTCCTCGATTTTTGAGTCGCCTCAAAAATGAACTCCACCCCTTCAAACCCCATTCTCCTCGATTTTTGAGTCGCCTCAAAAATGAACTCCACCCCTTCAAACCCCATTCTCCTCGATTTTTGAGTCGCCTCAAAAATGAACTCCACCCCTTCAAACCCCATTCTCCTCGATTTTTGAGTCGCCTCAAAAATGAACTCCACCCCTTCAAACCCCATTCTCCTCGATTTTTGAGTCGCCTCAAAAATGAACTCCACCCCTTCAAACCCCATTCTCCTCGATTTTTGAGTCGCCTCAAAAATGAACTCCACCCCTTCAAACCCCATTCTCCTCGATTTTTGAGTCGCCTCAAAAATGAACTCCACCCCTTCAAACCCCATTCTCCTCGATTTTTGAGTCGCCTCAAAAATGAACTCCACCCCTTCAAACCCCATTCTCCTCGATTTTTGAGTCGCCTCAAAAATGAACTCCACCCCTTCAAACCCCATTCTCCTCGATTTTTGAGTCGCCTCAAAAATGAACTCCACCCCTTCAAACCCCATTCTCCTCGATTTTTGAGTCGCCTCAAAAATGAACTCCACCCCTTCAAACCCCATTCTCCTCGATTTTTGAGTCGCCTCAAAAATGAACTCCACCCCTTCGAACCCCATTCTCCTCGATTTTTGAGTCGCCTCAAAAATGAACTCCACCCCTTCAAACCCCATTCTCCTCGATTTTTGAGTCGCCTCAAAAATGAACTCCACCCCTTCAAACCCCATTCTCCTCGATTTTTGAGTCGCCTCAAAAATGAACTCCACCCCTTCAAACCCCATTCTCCTCGATTTTTGAGTCGCCTCAAAAATGAACTCCACCCCTTCAAACCCCATTCTCCTCGATTTTTGAGTCGCCTCAAAAATGAACTCCACCCCTTCAAACCCCATTCTCCTCGATTTTTGAGTCGCCTCAAAAATGAACTCCACCCCTTCAAACCCCATTCTCCTCGATTTTTGAGTCGCCTCAAAAATGAACTCCACCCCTTCAAACCCCATTCTCCTCGATTTTTGAGTCGCCTCAAAAATGAACTCCACCCCTTCAAACCCCATTCTCCTCGATTTTTGAGTCGCCTCAAAAATGAACTCCACCCCTTCAAACCCCATTCTCCTCGATTTTTGAGTCGCCTCAAAAATGAACTCCACCCCTTCAAACCCCATTCTCCTCGATTTTTGAGTCGCCTCAAAAATGAACTCCACCCCTTCAAACCCCATTCTCCTCGATTTTTGAGTCGCCTCAAAAATGAACTCCACCCCTTCAAACCCCATTCTCCTCGATTTTTGAGTCGCCTCAAAAATGAACTCCACCCCTTCAAACCCCATTCTCCTCGATTTTTGAGTCGCCTCAAAAATGAACTCCACCCCTTCAAACCCCATTCTCCTCGATTTTTGAGTCGCCTCAAAAATGAACTCCACCCCTTCAAACCCCATTCTCCTCGATTTTTGAGTCGCCTCAAAAATGAACTCCACCCCTTCAAACCCCATTCTCCTCGATTTTTGAGTCGCCTCAAAAATGAACTCCACCCCTTCAAACCCCATTCTCCTCGATTTTTGAGTCGCCTCAAAAATGAACTCCACCCCTTCAAACCCCATTCTCCTCGATTTTTTGAGTCGCCTCAAAAATGAACTCCACCCCTTCAAACCCCATTCTCCTCGATTTTTTGAGTCGCCTCAAAAATGAACTCCACCCCTTCAAACCCCATTCTCCTCGATTTTTGAGTCGCCTCAAAAATGAACTCCACCCCTTCAAACCCCATTCTCCTCGATTTTTGAGTCGCCTCAAAAATGAACTCCACCCCTTCAAACCCCATTCTCCTCGATTTTTGAGTCGACTCAAAAATGAACTCCACCCCTTCAAACCCCATTCTCCTCGATTTTTGAGTCGCCTCAAAAATGAACTCCACCCCTTCAAACCCCATTCTCCTCGATTTTTGAGTCGCCTCAAAAATGAACTCCACCCCTTCAAACCCCATTCTCCTCGATTTTTGAGTCGCCTCAAAAATGAACTCCACCCCTTCAAACCCCATTCTCCTCGATTTTTGAGTCGCCTCAAAAATGAACTCCACCCCTTCAAACCCCATTCTCCTCGATTTTTGAGTCGCCTCAAAAATGAACTCCACCCCTTCAAACCCCATTCTCCTCGATTTTTGAGTCGCCTCAAAAATGAACTCCACCCCTTCAAACCCCATTCTCCTCGATTTTTGAGTCGCCTCAAAAATGAACTCCACCCCTTCAAACCCCATTCTCCTCGATTTTTGAGTCGCCTCAAAAATGAACTCCACCCCTTCAAACCCCATTCTCCTCGATTTTTGAGTCGCCTCAAAAATGAACTCCACCCCTTCAAACCCCATTCTCCTCGATTTTTGAGTCGCCTCAAAAATGAACTCCACCCCTTCAAACCCCATTCTCCTCGATTTTTGAGTCGCCTCAAAAATGAAACTCCACCCCTTCAAACCCCATTCTCCTCGATTTTTGAGTCGCCTCAAAAATGAACTCCACCCCTTCAACCCCATTCTCCTCGATTTTTGAGTCGCCTCAAAAATGAACTCCACCCCTTCAAACCCCATTCTCCTCGATTTTTGAGTCGCCTCAAAAATGAACTCCACCCCTTCAAACCCCATTCTCCTCGATTTTTGAGTCGCCTCAAAAATGAACTCCACCCCTTCAAACCCCATTCTCCTCGATTTTTGAGTCGCCTCAAAAATGAACTCCACCCCTTCAAACCCCATTCTCCTCGATTTTTTAGTCGCCTCAAAATGAACTCCACCCCTTCGAACCCCATTCTCCTCGATTTTTGAGTCGCCTCAAAAATGAACTCCACCCCTTCAAACCCCATTCTCCTCGATTTTTGAGTCGCCTCAAAAATGAACTCCACCCCTTCAAACCCCATTCTCCTCGATTTTTGAGTCGACTCAAAAATGAACTCCACCCCTTCGAACCCCATTCTCCTCGATTTTTGAGTCGCCTCAAAAATGAACTCCACCCCTTCAACCCCATTCTCCTCGATTTTTGAGTCGCCTCAAAAATGAACTCCACCCCTTCAAACCCCATTCTCCTCGATTTTTGAGTCGCCTCAAAAATGAACTCCACCCCTTCAAACCCCATTCTCCTCGATTTTTGAGTCGCCTCAAAAATGAACTCCACCCCTTCAAACCCCATTCTCCTCGATTTTTGAGTCGCCTCAAAAATGAACTCCACCCCTTCAAACCCCATTCTCCTCGATTTTTTGAGTCGCCTCAAAAATGAACTCCACCCCTTCAAACCCCATTCTCCTCGATTTTTTAGTCGCCTCAAAAATGAACTCCACCCCTTTCGAACCCCATTCTCCTCGATTTTTTGAGTCGCCTCAAAAATGAACTCCACCCCTTCAAACCCCATTCTCCTCGATTTTTGAGTCGCCTCAAAAATGAACTCCACCCCTTTCAAACCCCATTCTCCTCGATTTTTTAGTCGACTCAAAATGAACTCCACCCCTTCAAACCCCCATCTCCTGCGATTTTTTAGTCGGCCTCAAAATGAACTCCACCCCTCGAACCCCCTTCTCCTCGATTTTTTTAGTCGACTCAAAAATGAACTCCACCCCTCTCAAACCCCATTCTCCTCGATTTTTTAGTCGACTCAAAAATGAACTCCACCCCCTTCAAACCCCATTCTCCTCGATTTTTGAGTCGCCTCAAAATGAACTCCACCCCTTCAAACCCCATTCTCCTCGATTTTTTGAGTCGCCTCAAAATGAACTCCACCCCTTCGAACCCCATTCTCCTCGATTTTTGAGTCGCCTCAAAAATGAACTCCACCCCTTCAAACCCCATTCTCCTCGATTTTTGAGTCGCCTCAAAAATGAACTCCACCCCTTCAAACCCCCATTCTCCTCGATTTTTGAGTCGCCTCAAAAATGAACTCCACCCCTTCAAACCCCATTCTCCTCGATTTTTTAGTCGCCTCAAAAATGAAACTCCACCCCTTCGAACCCCATTCTCCTCGATTTTTGAGTCGCCTCAAAAATGAAACTCCACCCTTCAAACCCCATTCTCCTCGATTTTTGAGTCGCCTCAAAAATGAACTCCAACCCCTTCAAACCCCATTCTCCTCGATTTTTTTGAGTCGCCTCAAAAATGAACTCCACCCCTTCAAACCCCATTCTCCTCGATTTTTTAGTCGACTCAAAAATGAACTCACCCCTTCAAACCCCATTCTCCTCGATTTTTGAGTCGCCTCAAAAAATGAACTCCACCCCTTCAAAACCCCATTCTCCTCGATTTTTAGTCGCCTCAAAAATGAACTCCACCCCTTCGAACCCCATTCTCCTCGATTTTTGAGTCGCCTCAAAATGAACTCCACCCCTTCAAACCCCATTCTCCTCGATTTTTGAGTCGCCTCAAAAATGAACTCCACCCCTTCAAACCCCATTCTCCTCGATTTTTGAGTCGCCTCAAAAATGAACTCCACCCCTTCAAACCCCATTCTCCTCGATTTTGAGTCGCCTCAA